TCTGGTGCAACCCTTCCACACTCGGCGAATCCCAAGATTAATACAGCTAGCCTGTTGCAGCTATCTTGAATTTTTCAACCCAAACCTTCAGAAGTGTAAATAATTGGGAATGAATCTGCAAGTGATTGAACTATACATTTGCAGTGCCCGTGATTCTTTGAAACTATACGCCTACAGTGCTCAAGGTGATCATGCTCTTCTGATTAACTGCTTGTGTTTTGATAAGGTTTTTTTTTTCCTTTGAGGATTTTCTTGCCAATTGGAATCATTTATGGGTAAATCTCATAGTCAATTGGATTATCTATTCAATAAATAGGATTCCAACATCTCTGAGTAATATAATACTTTTATATAAATAATTATAAGAATCAAATCCGTAAAGTATTAACGTAACCAGCACTGCCAGTGCGTAGCCCGCCACCCACAGAGATCTGTAGCTCTTCATTTTATCCTCAACAAATTCCAATTCTGGTCTGGACACCTACACAGCTTTCTCAGCACCGCTGTCATCATTACTAGAGGGTCCCCCGTGTTGCGGAGGGGTTCCATGACTCACCAAGCTCCATTGTTGAGCACCCCCGTCCTCCGCCCGCGACTAGACAGCGCCGTTGTTAAAGTAATGAATGTGTAATCTATTTGCCCATTATTTCTCCATGTCAAGGTTTTGCCCGATTGATTGTGTTAAATTGAGATGAACTGCTGGAAATCAGATGCTTTGGGTAATGCCATGTTGAACTGCTATTACGCACATGTAGGTGTTTAGCCTGTGTCACGCTGCAAGGTAAACAAACACATCAAGCAACACATGTGTGGGTATGGGTCATAGTCATATGTATGCTTCACACATCATTGAAATAATTAATTTATCTGCATTGGATGCATCAATCTTCTGGATGTCCTTAACTGTGAGGCCATAATAATGATATGAATGTGTGGTATACAGAAATTAATCAAGATTAGATAATAATTTCAGTGATGTCATGACATAGAAAATGAAATAGGCCTATCATGTAACACAACAGGATATAGGCTATTACCCTACTTAGTACTATCTGGCCTCGTATTATAAACACTGTAACACACCTTTACAATACTGCACATCAAATCAACAAAATGAGGTCCAAGACTTATTGAAATGAATAGACTGGTGCATATTCATTGAGATTTTGAGACCAGCTTATTATGCTTGAATGGTTATTCATAAAACATTGTTGGACACACCTTTTCAGCCAACCACTTTCACTTGTCATCAATAAGCCCCCATTTAAAAGTTGGGATACATTGTATTTTGTGCATGATAATAAGTTATTATCTGAGCGAGATATACAATCTGACATCATCTTTATTTATGTCCATTCTCTGGTGATAATGAAGGACTTTTGCTGAATGCAATTTCCACAAAAGGTACCATGTCTATCTCTGTGTTCAAGAGGCAACAGGTGCAATCTACCAAATGAGTTTAGCAGTTTCAATAACAAAGAATATAATAGGTGAGCTATTGTATAGATTAAATATGATTGTAGACTAATTTACTGTCATTATAAAAATCTGTTTTAAACATGCAATAGATTTGTATGGGGGGGGGGGGGGGGGGGGGGGGATCAGTGTCTGACCAATAAAAATGTAAGACTAATGTTATTTATCTATACTGTTTGGGAGGTAATTAAGGGATTGTCATGTTCAAATAAGCAAATGAACATTTGCTGGCCTAGCAAAATTTGTTGGATTCAAAAGATAGCATTGATTCAGGAATTGAGAAAACGTAGAGGTTAGATTGACATACACAGGCCAATGAACTGAACACATACAGTGAGGGAAACAAGTATTTGATCCCCTGCTGATTTTGTACGTTTGCCCACTGACAAAGACATGATCAGTCTATCATTTTAATGGTAGGTTTATTTGAACAGTGAGAGACAGAATAACAACAAAAGAATCCTGAAAAATGCATGTCAAAAATGTTATAAATTGATTTGCATTTTAATGAGGGAAATAAGTATTTGACCCCTTTGCAAAACATGACTTAGTACTTGGTGGCAAAACCCTTGTTGGCAATCACAGAGGTCAGACGTTTCTTGTAGTTGGCCACCAGGTTTGCACACATCTCAGGAGGGATTTTGTCCCGCTCCTCTTTGCAGATCTTCTCCAAGTCATTAAGGTTTTCAGGCTGACGTTTGGCAACTCGAACCTTCAGCTCCCTCCACAGATTTTCTATGGGATTAAGGTCTGGAGACTGGCTAGGCCATTCCAGGACCTTAATGTGCTTCTTCTTGAGCCACTCCTTTGTTGCCTTGGTCGTGTCTTTTGGGTGATTGTCATGCTGGAATACCCATCCACGACCCATTTTCAATGCCCTGGCTGAGGGAAGGAGGTTCTCACCCAAGATTTGACGGTACACGGCCCCGTCCATCGTCCCTTTGATGCGGTGAAGTTGTCCTGTCCCCTTAGCAGAGAAACACCCCCAAAACATAATGTTTCCACCTCCATGTTTGACGGTGGGGATGGTGTTCTTGGGGTCATAGGCAGCATTCCTCCTCCTCCAAACACGGCGAGTTGAGTTGATGGCAAAGAGCTCGATTTTGGTCTCATCTGACGACAACACTTTCACCCAGTTCTCCTCTGAATCATTCAGATGTTCATTGGCAAACTTCAGACGGGCCTGTATATGTGCTTTCTTAGGGTGGCAGGTAGCTTAGTGGGTAAGAGCGTTGTGCCAGTAACCGAAAGGTCGCTGGTTCTAATCCCCGGGCCGACTAGGTGAAAAATCTGTCGATGTGCCCTTAAGCAAGGTACTTAACCCTAAATGCTCCTGTAAGTCGCTCTGGATAAGAGCGTCTGCTAAATGACTAAAATGTAAATGTTGAGCAGGGGGACCTTGCGGGCGCTGCAGGATTTCAGTCCTTCACGGCGTAGTGTGTTACCAATTGTTTTCTTGGTGACTATGGTCCCAGCTGCCATGAGATCATTGACAAGATCCTCCCGTGTAGTTCTGGGCTGATTCCTCACCGTTCTCATGATCATTGCAACTCCACGAGGTGAGATCTTGCATGGAGCCCCAGGCCGAGGGAGATTGACAGTTCTTTTGTGTTTCTTCCATTTGCAAATAATCACACCAACTGTTGTCACCTTCTCACCAAGCTGCTTGGCGATGGTCTTGTAGCCCATTCCAGCCTTGTGTAGGTCTACAATCTTGTCCCTGACATCCCTGGAGAGCTCTTTGGTCTTGGCCATAGTGGAGAGTTTGGAATCTGATTGATTGATTGCTTCTGTGGACAGGTGTCTTTTATACAGGTAACAAACTGAGATTAGGAGCACTCCCTTTAAGAGTGTGCTCCTAATCTCAGCTCGTTACCTGTATAAAAGACACCTGGGAGCCAGACATCTTTCTGATTGAGAGGGGGTCAAATACTTATTTCACTCATTAAAATGCAAATCAATTTATAAAATTTTTGACATGCGTTTTTCTGGATTTTTTTGTTGTTATTCTGTCTCTCACTGTTCAAATAAACCTACCATTAAAATTATAGACTGATCATGTCTTTGTCAGTGGGCAAACAAAATCAGCAGGGGATCAAATACTTTTTTCCCTCACTGTAGTAGTCTATAGACTCCAATTAGAACATGAACCGAAAATGCGGGGTCATGACTTCCTCAGGCCAACCTCAAAAGTCTCCACACTCCTCATTTAATGGTGACTATTTCCCAAATGATCTTTCTTCTCTCTTGTCTTTCTCCTTCACTTTGCTATGATTAACTGCATGCCCCTGTGTCACCTTCCCCCAATTAAAAGCTCCTTTCAGCAGCCTCTTGTCTTGTGTGGAGAGAAGACAATTTCTGTGAGAAATACCTCTGTGTGCACCTGCCAGAAAATACTGTCTGCTCTGTGGAACACCCACAACAGTCTCCACCCGCACCAGTTTTATAATATAATGTAGGGTAAGTTAAGTCTATAGTATGTGTGTGTGTGTGTGTGTGTGTGTGTGTGTGTGTGTGTGTGTGTGTGTGTGTGTGAGTTAGTGTGTGTGTGTGTGTGTGTGTGTGTGTGTGTGTGTGTGTGTGTGTGTGTGTGTGTGTGTGTGTGAGAGAGAGAGAGAGGGGGGGGGGGGGGGCATTTGGCTTACAGTCAGTTGCCTATTTATTGCTATTAGATTTAAATGGCTTCTATTAGGGTTTTAAATTGATGATTATTTGACATAAGCCATTATTGTTAGTAGTTTGGACTTGAATCTTGTAGACGCTTATGACCCTATGCAATCAATACGAATAGGCTATCTGTTTTGCGCTGCAGTAAAGCATTTGAATGTCTGTAGCCTTTAAGCCGCAGTTGGTTATTTTCTAATCTATTACACTAGCATCCTCGCTTCAAGAGCGTTGTTTAGTAGGCTATTACACATTCGCCATCGACTTCGCTTGAACGGGTCCTCTACCTGAGGGAAATCAGTGGTTGTGCACTGACCCCTCGTGGATACAACCCGTAGGCTACTGTCACAGAAACGAGGAAAACATGCATGAAAGCAGTGCGCAGTGTAGGCCTACTTGATGATGAAGTCAGTGACGCGCGTTGTCATGGCATTCAGCATTTATGACGTAATGATAAAGTAGATAGCAATGTTCTATATATCAATTTCGTGCATTCGCGACACCATCTTAGTCCCTTTCTCCAAAATCCCACTTTCTGCTTGGTTTCTATCATCTGAGTTTAGTTGAGTCGTCTGTGGTTCAAAATTATTATTTTATGTGCGAGTGTTATATGAGATCAGTTCGTGTAAGTATTGATGGTATGAATTTGAATGATTTTATTTGAGTTGTTTTATCTAATGAATAAGCTCTCACATATGTTTATTATGACCACTATAGTTAAGCAGTCTGCCTGCCTTTTGATTTATTCACATAAATCAAGGATAGATCACCTTGATTAATACTGTAGGCTACTGAATTACTTCTCATGACTGGTTTGTTTCAAAAGTTGGCCTACATCAGATCTACCATCAAGGGAAAGCATGGAGACTCCGGAAAGTGACCAGTTCAACCCTACTCAGGAAATGCAGTGTCCATCAGTGGTGGTGTGTATTTATTCCACATACAAGGGGATTGCATACTGTAGGGCAGGCTATGTTAGAAGGCTCCTTCTATGCTTTCCCTCATTCTTATACTGTAGGAAACCACTTGGAGTGGTTTATGCCATTGTCCATGTTAAATCAGTGGTCACCCTAAATAAAAATGGAATAAAGTTCTGTAAGAGATAACAGACCGACAGAATTCATTTCTGGAAATGAAGAGATATTTCCATAGTCATATCTATCACTTGAATTTGGTTGAAATTAAAAGTTCAATTTCTTTAGTTAATTATGTTACACTTAGTGGGTCCATATCATGTTGTAAACCACAAGGTTCCATGGTTGAGATGTGTATAGGCTGTGGCTGTGGGGTCCACCCTGGTCACACCCATAACCACGTCCTTGTTTAGAAACGGACTTGAGAATTATATTTCATTTGTGATTCATAGTCTGATCCTACAGCCTACATGTGAGTACATTTTGGGGAATTTTGGTTTGATTCTCCATGGCAACTGATTCATTTGTGAATGCACATGAATCCTTACATGATATCTGTGCCCCTCCTTGTTGTTGTTTTTTTAATTAGCGACGTCGGGTAAAGTGCTGCTGACTGACCATTAAAATGTTGTCTGTGCACTGGATGTAGGGCAGGCGAAGTGTGCTGGTGAAAAGTGTCGCGGAGGAGTTCTTCTGTCTCACTGATGAGACGGACCTAGGGAGGGTGAGCGTGTCAACACCGGAAGTCAGCATGAGGAGCAGCAGCACTGCTGGACACGGCAAAGGAAGTGAATCTGTGCTGCTCAGGTAAATACTTCCTGTTGATTGGCACGATAGTTAAGTATAGGTAGCTGCGTCCCGGACTGGTCTCGGAGTAGTGGGCGTGTCGAAAGAAATGGGCAAAATACATTTTGATTGAACAGGGTTGTTGCCAGTGCCACTCAGAGTAGCCTCTTTTGTCCAGTCGCTTTCAGGAAGTGCATGGAGGACGCTAAAGCATTTTTAATCACATACACAACTCAAACTTTTATGAAAGCAAACATGACAAATTGTTACCGTTATACTAAGTGTCATGAACAGTATTGTTCAGTCTCATAATAATTTTCACATACACACCTCAAACTTTTATTAAAGCAATCGTGACGAAACATGAAGATCTGCCACCAGGGTAACCTAATTTTAATCTCCTGAAATTATAACGTGCTAGTATCAGACGGGCATCAGCCTAGGCAATTTTCCCGGGCCGTTCGCTTCGTAAATTGGTCGTCATAGGCATGTCAGCAAACTTGCAGGCAGGCACGCAACTCATAGGTCTGCCATTGAGCAAGCTTGCTATCGGTGTTTATAAATAGGACATCGACAAATGTAATAATTACATTGCGCACAGAAGCCTATACAACTGCAATGAAATTTGATAAATGTAAAATGTTTACAACATGAAAGCATGTTAAGATACGTGCATTTACATGCAATGCTAAGTGATTTCACGACACCACAATTCTGAGTTTCCCAAACGTCCTCAAATTCATTTCGATGCCTCTTCCTACACAGTCATGTTTCCACAAATCTCTTCACTCGCTGGCAAGAACTGACAGAAAGTCAGACCAATACATGTGCGCTTTCGATACGCCTACTTTCTTTCGACACACCTATTTCTTTTGACACACCCAGTCTCCGGCCGCCATATTTGCTGCAGCTATCCCTTCTCATGCTAGTACTTACAGTGATTGGCCAACATAGGACATGTACTTATGCTTTCAAGACAACTGGGAACTCGGAGAAAACGATGTCAAATCATGACGTCAGTGATCTTCAGGTCGGAAAGTCAGAGCTCGAGAAAGCTACCCGAGTTCCCGACTTGGAAAACCTAGTTGGATTGTTCAAAACGATTTCTCCCAGTCGGAGCTAGTATTTTCCGGAGTTCCCACTTGTCTTGAACGCTCAGAAGTCGGAGAATTCCGAGTTCCCAGTTGTTTTGAACGCAGCATAACTAATCAAGATACTTCTTTCAGGACTGTGACCTTGGATTATAATGATGGTGATGACTATGATGACGCAGAGGGAATCCCTGAACATACACCAAAACCAGAAGTCACAGAAGGTAAAAATTATTTCACTCTGTACACTACAACTAGCATAACAGATAATAGGCAGTGGAAATAATGTATCAGTTATTGACACTGCTCCCAATTACAGTCTGTTTGCTTGTGTGTTTAGAATGGATGTCAGTCATGGGGGCAAAACTCCCAGAGTTACCAGTTCATAAAAAGGAGGAGACCTCAAGAATGGTAAGCAAGAACAAGAACCTCCCATGATGCAGACACAGAGATATAGAATACATTTAATGGAACAAAAAAAAAAAAAAAAAAAAAAAAAAATATATATATATATATATATATATATATATATATATATATATATAAATAGAATTGATTTGAATTTCAGAAATGTAAGTCACCAAAAGAATATATCCAGCTCCAAAGTGATAAAGGTACAGTGTACAACGTAGACATAATTATGTTTTTCTGTTACATCAACAATTACCTATTATCTCTCATGCCAACTAAGTAAGAACTACCTAAGTAGACTGTTTTGTTTTCAGTCAAAGAAAGAAATAGCTTATGTCCTCAGAATGTTAGTCTGCACTACTTGGCCTATAACTTTTACAATTTGAACTGCTCTCATACAGTATACTGTAAATGTTGGCATTTGAAAAAGCATGACATTTTATTTTATTAGGGATGAGTGTACCAGAAACACAGACAAGGATGAAAGATCAGGCCAAGATACCGGTGAGTCACAACGTACCAGAGGAGGCTGGTGGGGGGAGCTATAGGAGGACTGGCTTATTGGAATGGCTGGAATGGAGTGGATGGAATGGAGTCAAACATGTAGTTTCCATGTGTTTCCAGATGTGTTTGATACCGTTCCGTATATTCCATTGCAGCCATTACAATGCGCCGTCCTCCTATAGCTCCTCCCACCAGCCTCCTCTGCAATGCACTGTCTGACTCAAGGACAAGTGCCCATAATTCCCACCCATACATCATTATACACTCTTTTCCCTTGTATTTACTCTGACATTTCAGCATGAACGTTGTATGTTATAATACGTTTAAAAAAAACTTGCTTGTTACCTAAGGTCATGCCATACTCTCTGTTTCATGTTTTTGCTTGATGTAGATAGGCTCTAGCCAAGTACTGTAGTTGAGATTTCTCAAACCTACTGAAAGCCCTTGCTGTTAGGGCCACTGCGGTTCACAATGTTCACGCTATCTGCTTTCAGTTACCACTAAAGCCTTTCAGTGAGGGATATGAGGCAGCATTCCTCAGGGACAGAAGTGAGATCATTCAGTCATTATTATTGGTCATTTAAACAATACTATTAAAAATGGAGGTATGTGTTATCATAAATCACATTGATGACATAGCTTAGTTTAAAGAGATCTGAGTCTCAAACAGTAATGATAAAGGATGAAGATAGATCATCCCCAGGTTGGTGTCGTTTAATCAGTATAATTACAAATAACATCCTTTATCATAGATCATCCTTTTTATGAAATATCTGCCTCACATTCAGTCATCCCAAGATGTCTGTGCTTTGGTACTATCATGATGATGGAGTGTCTTAATGGAGGTTTCCTCTGTGAAGCCACCTGGTTTGTGTCATCATGGTCCTCTGTCACGTCCTTTGTTTTGCAGTGCGAAGGCTCTGTAGAAGGTCAGGACCTCCCTTATCGCTGTCCTCCCCTACGGAAAGCCTGGGGGACATACTGTACAGGAAAACCAAGTATGTGTTTGACTACACAGTCACAGACATGAAAGACAAAAAGCCTGGTGAGTCAGCCTGATAGTGGGATTTGGAAATATAAGTTATTGAACGCTACAACAAAGAGATGGATAGGATAGCATCTCTTGGAAAGGCCTGGGGCCCTATTCAGTCATAATCGGTCACAGGCGTTCAGGATTAATACCAGAAAATATATTTGTCTTGTGTTTCAAAAGCATGTTTAAAGTATAGTAGTATGATCTTTTTTATTTCACATGCTTTGTACTATAGATGAAATTAATCCAATTATGCCATGTTTCAGATGTTTCAAGGTGCGGTTCCAATCTAAGCCAATGTGTTAGACCAGCCCTTCCATTACATAAGGGCTTCACTATATCCACATCTAGGTACAGCCAGGTGAGTAAAATATTGTAATTGAGATGATGTTCACACGCACACACACACACAAACACACACAATGGTACAGTGGTAACCTGTATTTACCTTATTTTTCAGAGAAGGGAACAATCACTTTATCAGATGACAGAGATCAGGAAAGATCATGGTAAGATCCTATACTAATTCCCTATGTTGTTAATGTACAAAGAAACACATGCACAACTGGACATACCCAATTGTAAACTGTAACTTTTGTGTTCTTGTTCCCACTTTAGTCGGTAGGCCTTTACTGATGCTGAAAGGCAATGCAGGTCTAACCAGCAGTGATAGCAGCAACAACACGGATTCATCTGCTTATTCATCCAGACTCACAAAGGTATCAGAACCCTTTATTGATATTATGTTGGTATTGATATAGTAAGAACGTCAGTAACATTTTACAGTCCTGAATAAACTAAGCAACATTTACATAGCCATTGCCTTCTTTGTTTTATGACCTATTTAATAATGAGCCAGTAGTGGTACATTTACTAGCTTCAATTAAACACAGGAGGTTAGTGTTGCTCTACATTTGACTCAACCATCCAACATGCCAAGCTTATTCACATGTGGAACACATAGGATAGGCTCTACCATAACAAAATATATTGATATCTTTAATCTAGGGAAAACCATCAACATCTTCTCAGCCAGGACCTGACATCAAGATCCCACCAGTAGTAACCAGGAAGCATTCTGACATCATCAGAGAGGTAATCACTTTATTATCTGTTGTGCCCCCGCAAAATAAGCTTTTGTCCATGTTTAAAGAGCAGATAATGCTGATTTAGTCATTTGTTTATGTTGACCCATACTCCATGACCAATATACTGTGTAACTTATAGGAGAGAAAGAGGCACTACTACAAAGACCTGTATCAGCAGGTGGAGGAGAAGAGACAACAGAAAGAGAGGGAGAGGAGGAGGATTACCACCGCCGAACAAACTGTGAGTCATCGCATGCATAATTATTCTATGTTACCCATACCTTTTATATAGAGATAGGACAGGAACTTGTCACCTTTTTTAGTCACATGATCCTCATTATACCCTACTTCAAAGTAGTCCAACGGATCCTAAAGCATTTTGTTCTTGAGTGTTTGGAATAATTATACACAACAATGGTCACTGATAGTGATTGACTCAATTGTAAGGACTGACATTGACAGATTGCACTTCAATCTCCTTGTCATTGGCAGCACAATGAGACAATGCAGCTCTGCACCTGGGGGATGCCAGGGAGCGGAGCCCCAAACTACCACCTGGACTCTGTGAGAAGGAACAAGTTCAGTTCTACAGGAATGATACCCCAGGATCAGGTAACATATCAACCTGACATTTATGTTTAGTAGGGGAGACCGGTGAACAAAGTAACAGTTTTAGGCTTTTGCTTAGTATGAAAATAATATGGGTTAGGATCAGGTTAGGATTAGAATTTTAGGTAAGGGTTTAATTGTAATATTACAACTCTATTCCGAGTCTATTATAAGTATTATTATATTTATATTTTAATTAATTAATTAATTAATATTATAAGTATTGTCTTAATAATTATTATACCAATCAAAAGACCTCTTCTTATTGATACAAATTATATATGATTAGATACATGGGGAATGTTCCGCAGGTCAATAATAAAAAAAACTGAGGCAGCAAGAATATTTAGAATTCGGCCTGAAATTATTTTTTGGGTCAATCAAATAATTATTTATGGATTTAAGCAAAATTTCATAGGCAGGTACTGTAGATACACTAACCAAACATTTGCACATTGTGGCGTGTGATTTGGACAGAGTCAGGCGCAGGAGGGTAAATCACTTTTGAAAAGCGGTCCACAACGACCAGGATAGTGGTGTTACCCTGAGAGAGGGAAGATCAGTTAGAAAGTCAATACACAGGTGGGACCATGGCCGTTGTGGAACTGGTAAGGACTGTAACTTACCCGCTGGGAGGTGCCTAGGTGCCTTACTCTAGGTGCACACCGAGCAGGAGGAGACATACACCCTCACGTCCTTAGCCAAGGTAGGCCACCAGTACTTTCCGGTCAGGCAGCGCACTGTACGACCGATACCTGGGTGACCAGAGGAGGGAGACGTGTGGGCCCAATATATCAGACGGTCATGGACAAGAGACGGCACGTACTGCAGCCCAGCTGGACACTGAGGTGGAGATGGCTCCGTGTGTACCGCCCGCTCTATGTCCACGTCCATCGCCCATACTACCGGCGCCACAATGCAGGAGGCCGGGAGTATGGGGGTGTTGTCTATGGGCCTCTCCTCTGTGTCGTACAGTCGTGGCAGCGCGTCTGCCTTCATGTTCTTCGTACCCGGGATGTATGACAGAGTAAACTCAAACCGGGTAAGAATAGGGCCCACCTGGCCTGGCGAGGGTTCAGCCTCCTCGCTGCCCGGATGTACTCCAGGTTACGGTGGTCCGTCCAGACGAGGAAAGGGTGTTTCGCCCCCTCGAACCAGTGCCTCCACACTGTCAGGGCTCTGACTACAGCCAACAGCTCCCGATCACCAACGTCGTAGTTCTGCTCCGCTGGTCTGAGCTTCTTGGAGAAGAAGGCACAGTTGCGGAGCTTGGGTGGTGTGCCCGAGCGTTGAGACAGGACAGTGACTATCCCTACCTCGAAGGCATCCACCTCCACTACGAACGGTAGTGATGGATCGGGATGGGCCAGTACCGGGGCTGAGGTGAACAGAACCCTCAGGTTACTGAAGGCCCTGTCAGTCTCAGCAGACCAGCGGAGCCGGGACGGCCCACCCTTCAACAGAGATGTGATGGGAGCTGCGACCTTGCCAAAGCCCCGGATAAACCTCCAATAGTAGTTGGCAAAGCCAATAAAGCGCTGCACCTCCTTTACCGTGGTTGGAGTCGGCCAATTACGCATGGCTGAAATGTGATATCCCTCCATCTCCACACCTGAGGTGCTAATGCGGTATCCAAGGAAGGAGACGGACTGCTGGAAAAACAGACACTTCTCTGCCTTGGCATAAAGGTCATTTTCCAACAGTCGGCCCAGCACTTTGCGAACCAGGGACACATGCTCAGCGCGCGTAGTGGAATACACCAGAATGTAATCGATGTAGACTACTACACCGTGACCAAGCATGTCCCGAAACATCTCGTTCAAAAAGGACTGGAAAACGGATGGAGCATTCATCAAACCGCACGGCATCACCGGGTATTCGTAATGCCCCGTGGTTGTACTGAATGCTGTCTTCCATTCGTCCCCCTCTCGGACACGCACCAGGTTATACGCACTCCGGAGATCTAATTTTGTGAAAAAGCGCGCCCCATGCATTGACTCGATCACAGCTGGGATGAGGGGCAGAGGATAACTATAACGTATTGTCCCCTTGTTCAATGCTCGGTAATCAATGCACGGGCACAGACCTCCGTCTTTCTTCTTCACAAAAAATAAACTCCAGGAGGCGGGCGAAGTGGAGGGACGTATGAACCCCTGGCGCAGGGACTTGGAGACATATGTCTCCATCGCCTCCATTTCAGCCTGCGACAGGGGATATACATGACTCCTGGGAGGCACAGCATCTACTCGTAGGTTTATCGCGCAATCCCCCCTGCCCAGATGAGGTGGTAATTTGGTCGCCTGCGTTTTGGAAAACGCGTGCGCCAAATCGAGGTATTCGGGGGGGATGCGCACGGTGGAGGAAGTGTCTGGACTTTCCACTGTGGTTGTACCAACGGAAACAGCTAGGCACCTACCCTGACACTCTCGCGGCCACCCCGTGAGAACCCTCTGCGGCCATGAAAAGGTGGGGTTGTGTAGTGCTAACCAGGGGAGACCCAACACAACAGGGAAATAGGGGGACAAAATAATAAAAAATGTGACGTGCTCTCTATGAGTCCTTTGGGTAACCATCGTGACTGGTGCTGTAACTTCCCTAACGAACCCTGACCCTAATGGTCGACTGTCAAGTGCTTTGATGGGCAGTTGAGTGGATAGGGGAACCAATGGAATACCTAGACTTAGAGCTAACGACCTGTCCATAAAGATCCCAGCTGCGCCTGAATCGACCAGCGCCTTACACTGGGAAACTATGGGATAGTCAGGGAAGGTGACGTGTATGGTACAGTGTGTAGCAGAGAGCTCTGACCGATTGTGGGTTTGCGCTACCTGGGGTGATGCGAGAGTGCCCTGCCTGCCGCCTCCAGACCCGGAAGAACCCTGACGACAGCGTGCAGTATAATGTCCTCTTCTGCCACAAGAGTGACACTGAAGCTGTCCTCCTCCGTTCTCCCGGATCACTGCCCCACCCAGCTCCATCGGAACGGACTCCGAGTTGGTAGGGGTGGGTGAAACGGACAGGCCACTCCCAGGACGTCCTCTAGCAGCCAGCATGTTGTCCAACCGGATGGCCATGTCCACCAGCTGGTCGAAGGTTAACATGGCATCCCGGCAGGCTAGCTCCCTTCGGACATCCTCTCGCAGGCTGCACCGGAATCTGTCGATCAGGGCCCGCTCGTTCCACCCGGTCCCAGCCGCTAGGGTCCGAAACGCCAGGGCGAAGTCCTGCGCGGTCCTCGTCCGCTGCCTCAGTTGGACCAGACGCTTGCCCGCCTCTCTTCCTTCGGGCAGGTGGTCGAAGACTGCCTGGAAGAGGCGAGCGAACTCCCCGTAGTTGTCCAACGTGGTTCCTCCTTCTCTCCAGACCGCGTTGGCCCACTCCAGGGCTTTCCCCGAGAGGCAGGAGACGAGGGCGGACACCTTCTCCCGCTCAAATGGAGCCGGGCTGATGTTCACGATGTAGAGGTCCAGCTGCAGGAGGAATCCCGTAAAACTCCCTCGGTCGGGATAGATGAATCCCCCTGGGTGCTGGAGTGTGGGTGGCCGGATCCGGTCGCTCAGCTGGTCCCGACGGGTTGGATCCTCTCCTCTCCAGGCATTGGACGACCTGGAGAACCCAATCCATCACTTCTCCCAAGCTGGCTAGCATCCTGGAATGCTCGTGGACCCGTGCCACGACTCCAGGCATGGGCTCTTCTCCTGCTGACTCCATGGCAGGTGTGTGATTCTGTGGCGTGTGATTTGGACGGAGTCAGGCGCAGGAGGGTAAATCACAGAATAAAGGTTTATTCCGTATATATAAGGAGCTCCACCGAGCACATATAACCTCCACAATAAACAATCACACACAAAGACAAGGGGGCAGAGGGAACACTTATACAGGTACTGATGAGGGGAATTGAAACCAGGTGTGTGTAATAATCAAGACAAAACAAATGGAATGATGAGATGAGGAGCGGCAGTGGCTAGAAGGCCGGTGACCTCGAACACGGAAGCCTGCCAGAACAAGGAGAGGAGGCAGCTTCGGAGGACGTTGTGGCACACATTGAATAACAGCTGTCTAAGTTATTTATAATTTGAGTTATTTAGTTACTTTGTGCCCTGTGTTACTTTGTTCTCCGGTCTCCCCTACTACCATTCACTACATAGAAGCAGGTAACCTTTATTAACAGGTTTCAGGGCCCATATTCACAAGATGTCCGAGTTGGAGCGCTGATCGAGAATACGTTTTGCCTTTTACATCATAATTAATAACATGATATGGACAAGGGGGATCTCATCCTAGATCAGCACTCTTACTCCAAGACCATTTGTGTATCCTAGATTATATCCACTATACAGTGCATTGGGAAAGTATTCAGACCCCTTGACTTTTTCTACATTTTCTTACGTTACAGCCTTACTCTAAAATGGATTAAATCGTTTTTCCCCCTCATCAATCTACACACAATACCCATAATGACAAAGCAAAAACAGGTTTTAGTATATATTTGCAAATGTATACAAAAAAAAATAATGAAATATCACATTTACATAAGTATTCAGACCCTTTACTCAGTACTATGTGGAAGCACCTTTGGCAGCGATTACCGCCTTGAGTCTTCTTGGGTATGACGCTACAAGCTTGGCACATAATGTTGCTGCTACTGTCTCTTATGACCGAAAAGAGCTTCTGGACATCAGAACAGCGATTACTCACCTTGAACTGGACAAATAATATTTATTCAATGAGTCAGACGAGAGGGATTTGCTCCAGACATCCGACAGGGCCCTCATCCCCATCATTCGCAGTAGAAAGAAAATAAGATATTGCGGAAGGAGATCGGGGTGCCTAGTAAAGAGCCGGCGACAAGTGGCTAATCTGCCTTTGCCATCGATACTATTGGCCAACGTACAATCGCTTGATAATAAAGTGGACGAACTAGAAGCACGTATATCCTACCAACGGGACATTAGAAACTGTAATATCTTAGGTTTCACCGAGTCGTGGCTGAACGACGACATGAATAACATACAGCTGGCGTGTTATACACTGTATCTGCAGGATAGAACAGCAGCCTCTGGTAAGACAAGGGGTGGCGGTCTATGTATATTTGGAAACAACAGCTGGTGCACGATATCTAAGGAGGTCTCTAGGTTTTGCTCGCCTGAGGTGAAGTATCTCATGATAAGCTGTAGACCACACTATCTACCAAGAGAGTTTTCATCTATATTCTTCGTAGCTGTCTATTTACCACCACAAACCGATGCTGGCACTAAGACTGCTCTCAATGAACTGTATACAGCCATAAGCAAACAGGAAAACGCTCATCCAGAGGCGGCGCTCCTAGTGGCCGGGGACTTTAATGCAGGGAAACTTAAATCCGTTTTACCTCATTTCTACCAGCATGTTAAATGTGCAACCAGAGGGGAAAAAACTAGACCACCTTTACTCCACACACAGAGACGGGTACAAAGCTCTCCCTCGCCCTCCATTTGGCAAATCTGACCATAATTCTATCAAGCAAAAACTAAAGCAGGACGCACCAGTGACTCGGTCAATAAAAAAGTGGTCAGATGAAGCAGATGCTAAGCTACAGGACTGTTTTGCTAGCACAGACTGGAATATGTTCTGGGATTTTTCCGATGGCATTGAAGAGTACACCACATCAGTCACTGGCTTCATCAATAAGTGCATCGATGACGTCGTCCCCACAGTGACTGTACGTACATACCCCAACCAGAAGCCATGGATTACAGGCAACATCCGCACTGAGCTAAAGGGTAGAGCTGCCGCTTTCAAGGAGTGGGACTCTAACACGGAAGTTTATAAGAAATCCCGCTATGCCCTCCGACGAACCATCAAACAGGCAAAACATCAATACAGGACTAAGATCGAATCGTACTACACCGGCTCCGACGCAAACTATTACAGACTACAAAGGGAAGCACAGCCGCGAGCTTCCCAGTGACACAAGCCTAGCAGACGAGCTAAATTACTTAAATGCTCGCTTCGAGGAAAGTAATACTAAAACATTCATGAGAGCATCAGCTGTTCCGGACGACTGTGTGATCACGCTCTCCGTAGCCATGTGAGTAAGACCTTTACACAGGTCAACATTCACAAGGCCGCAGGGCCAGATTGATTACCAGGACGTGTACTCCGAGCATGCGCTGACCAACTGGCAAGTGTCTTCACTGACATTTTCAACCTCTCCCTGTCTGTCTGTAATACCAACATGTTTCAAGCAGACCACCATAGTCCCTGTGCCCAAGAACACTAAGGTAACCTTCCAAAATGACTACCGACACGTAGCACTCACGTCTGTAGCCATGAAGTGCTTTGAAAGGCTGGTCATGGCTCACATCAACACCATTATCCCAGAAACTCTAGACCCACTCCAGTATGCATACCGCCCCAACAGATCCACAGATGATGCAATCTCTATTGCGCTCCACACTGCCCTTTCACACCTGGACAAAAGGAACACCTGTGAGAATGCTATTCATTGACTACAGCTCAGCGTTCAACACAATAGTGCCCTCAAAGCTCATCACTAAGCTAAGGACCCTGGGACTAAACACCTCCCTCTGCAACTGGATCCTGGACTTCCTGACGGGCCGCCCCCAGGTGGTAAGGGTAGGTAACAACACATCTGCCACGCTGATCCTCAACACGGGGTCCCCTCAGGGGTGCGTGCTCTTTCCCCTCCTGTACTTCCTGTTCACTCATGACTTCATGGCCAGGCACGACTCCAACACCATCATTAAGTTTGCCGATGACACAAAAGTGGTAGGCCTGATCACCGACATCGACGAGACAGCCTATAGGGAGGAGGTCAGAGAACTGGCCGTGTGGTGCCAGGACAACAACCTCTCCCTCAACGTGATCAAGACAAAGGAGATGATTGTGGACAACAGGAAAAAGAAGAGGACCGAGCACGCCCCCATTCTCATCGACTGGGCTTTAGTGGAGCACGTTGAGAGCTTCAGGTTCCTTGGTGTCCACATCACCAACAAACTAACATGGTCCAAGCACACCAAGACAGTCGTGAAGAGGGCACGAAAAAAGCTATTCCCCCTAAGGAGACTGAAAAGATTTGGCATGGGTCCTCAGATCCTCAAAAGGTTCTACAGCTGCATCATCGAAAGCATCCTGACTTGGTGCATCACTGCCTGGTATGGCAACTGCTCGGCCTCCGACCGCAAGGCACTACAGAGGGTAGTGTGTACGGCCCAGTACATCACTGGGGCCAAGCTTCCTGCCATCCAGGACCTCTATACCAGGCGGTGTCAGAGGAAGGCCCTAAAAATTGTCAAAGACTCCAGCCACCCTAGTCATAGACTGTTCTCTCTGCTACCGCACGGCAAGCGGTACCGGAGCGCCATGTCTAGGTCCAAGAGGCTTCTAAACAGCTTCTACCCCCAAGCCATAAGACTCCTGAACATCTAATCAAATGGCTACCCAGACTATTTGCATTGCCCCCCCCCCCCCCTTTATGCTGCTGCTACTCTCTGTTTATTATCTATGCATAGTCACTTTAATAACGCTATCTACATGTATCTATTACCTCAATTACCTCGACTCACCGGTGCCCCCGCACATTGACTCGGTACCGGTACCCCCTGTATATAGCGTCGCTATTGTTATTTTACTGATGCTCTTTAATTATTTGTTACTTTTATTACTTATTATTTTTTGTATTCTTTCTTAAAATGGCGTTGTTGGTTAAGGGCTTGTAAGTAAGCATTTCACTGTTGTATTCAGCGCATGTGACAAATACAATTTGATTTGTATTTGGGGAGTTTTTCCCATTCTTCTCTGCAGATCCTCTCAAACTCTGTCAGGTTGGATGGGGAGCGTCGCTTCACAGCTATTTCCAGGTCTCTCCAGAGATGTTCGATCAGGTTCAAGTCCGGGCTCTGGCTGGGCCACTCAAGGACATTAAGAGACTTGTCCCGAAGCCACTCCTGCGTTGTCTTGGCTGTGTGCTTAGGGTCGTTATCCTGTTGGAAGGTGAACCTTCGCCCCAGTCTGAGGTCCTGTGCGCTCTGGAGCAGGTTTTCATCTAGGTCTCTCTGTACTTTGCTCCGTTCATCTTTCCCTTGATCCTGAGTAGTCTCCCAGCCCCTGCCGCTGAAAAACATCCCCACAGCATGATGCTGTCACCACCATGCTTCACCGTAGGGATGGTGCCAGGTTTCCTCCAGACGTGACACTTGGCTTTCAGGCCAAAGAGTTCAATCTTGGTTTCATCAGACCAGAAAATCTTGTTTCTCATGGTCTCAGAGTCCTTTAGGTGCCTTTTGGCAAACTCCAAGCGGGCTGTAATGTGCCTTTTACTGAGGAGTGGCTTCTGTCTGGCCGCTCTACCATAAAGGCCTGATTGGTGGAGTGCTGCAGAAATGGTTGTCCTTCTGGAAGGTTCTCCCATCTCCACAGAGGAACTCTGGAGCTCTGTCAGAGTGACCATTGGGTTCTTGGTCACCTCCCTGACCAAGGCCCTTCTCCCCTGATGGCTCAGTTTGGCCGGGTGGCCAGCTCTAGGAAGAGTCTTGGTGGTTTCAAACTTCTTCCATTTAAGAATGATGGAGGCCACTGTGTTCTTGGGGACCTTCAGAATTTTTTTTGTACCCTTCCCCAGATCTGTGCCTCCACACAATCCTGTCTCAGAGCTCTACGGACAATTCCTTCAACCTCATGGCTTAGTTTTAGTTATGACATGCACTGTCAACTGTGGGACCTCATATAGACAGGTGTGTGCCTTTCCAAATCATGTCCAATCAATGAATTTACCACAGGTGGACTCCAATCAAGTTGTAGAAATATCTCAAGGATGATCAATGGAAACTGGATGCACCTGAGCTCAATTTCGAGTCTCATACCAAAGGGTCTGAAAACGTATGTAAATCATGTATTTCTGTTTTATTTATTTTTATAAATGTGCAAACATTTATAAAAAGCTGTTTTCGCTTCGTCATTATGGGGTATTGTGTGTAGATTGCAGTAAAAAAAAAATCCATTTTAGAATAAGACTGTAACATAACAAAATGTGGAAAAGGTCAAGGGGTCTGTATACTTTCCGAAGGCACTATATGTCACTGAATATTGACTATTCACAATCACTATTATGGGGTATTGTGTGTAGACTGATGAGGAAAAAAATTAACTTAAAAAGGTCAAGGGGTCTGAATACTTTCCCGAATGCACTGTATAACTGTGCCTTGAAAATAATCCCTCAATTTATGCAGCATCCGCCTGTCGGCCTTCCGCATCTGCGGTGGAAGGTTGCCGAACTACAGCGGAGTTTGTCAGACCATGAGACATCCAGAATATTGGTCTTCTCACAAAAACCTCTTTAGGGTCCGAATGGTTTGGCCTACGGTTTGACCTTTCCACTCTATGGACAGGGGAGACTCTCACGAACATGATGGTGACTCGTCAGAAGTCGGTAACGCTGATGTGCCAACTTTTTTCTGTAGTGTCCGAACCATTTGAGCTACAAACTAATATGACCCCACTAGTATCAAAACCTTATTCCTCATTATTTATTTTTTGACTGTATTTTTTGCCATTTATGAATGTGTTACTCAATGCATTTCTATGGGCTATAGTAGTAAAGGCCAAATTCAATATTTTATCGAATCATTGTATTTATCATTTGATACCTAAAGGGGTCCTAAAATTCTAAATCAAATAGCTAAATGATCCGTGGTATGACCATCTCAAAACAATTCCACAATCCCTCCCCCTTAGACTTTTAGAGGGTTAAAGATGCCATTGAAATGTGACACTTTGATTATATTTGATTATAGGTCATTTGAAAAAGAAAAGGAGAGCTGCACACTCAGTTGCAAATAATAACAGACAAGCTGTCTTCATCAGGGTATAATGACAAACACTGCGGGTCACAAGTTTATATAGTTTCAAAGGACACACAGGTATCTGTAATTATGGCTGAGTGTAGCTTGATTTCATTGGTTAATTTACAGATATAAATAGAACATATAAAAAGCATGAATGGATAACATACGATCATAGATACAATTTGGCTACATAGGCCTACAAACAGCAAAATCACAAGAATGGCTTCAGATCAAAGTCTACGTTGAGACCGAAGGGAGCAAGGGTCTTTAAATTAAAGATCCAGGCAGCCTCTTGTTTTAACAATAAATTGTCAAGGTCACCCCCTCTCCTAGGGAGGGTGACATGTTCGATGCCGATATAACGAAGGGACGAAATAGAGTGGTTTGCTTCCAAAATGTGGGCCGCATCTGGGTATGTCGAGTTTTTGCACCTAATGGTGCTACGATGCTCCGAGATTCTTACGTTTTAATTCACGCTTCGTTTTACCTATATCATTTTTACCACAATGACAAGTTATAAGATAAATAACTGCCTTAGTGGAGCACGTGATAACACCTTTGATTGGGATCTGTTTCCCTGTCAGGGGGGTTTGAAGGATCTACATTTGTAAGTGCCATTGCATTGAGCACAGCCATTACACTTGTAGTTTCCATCCGGTAGAGGCGCAAATAGACGTTGTGCAGGGGTATTTTGGGGTGGTAAATCAGAGTTTACCAATTGATCTCTGAGATTTCTGCCCCGCGAGAATACAACCAAGGGAGGGTCCGAAAACACATTACCAATACTGTCATCAGATCTTAGAATGTGCCAATGTTTGTGAACGATTCCCTTAATTTGTTCAGAGCACTTTGAGTAGCGTGTTGTCTGAGGTTATAACATAGTCTGGATGCTGGTTCATAGTGCCCATTAAACCCTGTTTTGGTTGATAGGTTGACCTCTGAATGTTGTCTTTGTTCTGTCCTCAGCTCCGCTGTAAAGGCTTCAGCGGGATCCCTTTTCATCTGCATGTCAAATGACGGCCATTTTATGGTCCCCAACCCAGACGATTGATGCTCAGCTCAGACAACTGATAAACCAATTAAACTAACACAGTAGTAGGCCAAACACTGCGCTCTGCTGACTTTTGTCCCATAGGTAGTAGATAAGTCATATATTAGCTGGATTTCAGCACTCCTTGGCACTTGTATCCATTGATTAACTTACTGTTTCAAACACGAACAATTCTGGATCTAAGGTTTTACACATCGTGATGGTGTTCAAATCAGTTGTAATGGTAGTGATGTACATAAACAGACATATACACACACACACACACACACACACATAAAAGGCTACAGTGGTAATTGACTGATCGATAGCATGGTGAGATAATGAATAGAAACAGTGGCTCACTAAAGGTAAGAAAGACTGTACACAAAAACCTCCTAACTGGTCGGGATGCGATAAGAAAAAATACATGTATTTTTTAAATATATATTTTTTACCATTTTATATGAGTAATGTTTGATATATTTTGAAGCCAGAGTAGTAGTGAAATAAAACTCTCCTGAACAGCTAAAGAGAGTGGGTGTAAATAATTTAGAAAGTCTTAATGTCAATGCTTTGTAGGTGATGTGATGTGGAAGTCTATCCTCTGATATCATCCTGATATTTGCCTAATTCTATTTGGGTTGAATTATTCACAAAGTAACAATGGGTAGTGTAACTATAGTATTTACAAAAAGCTTTTCAACAGTAGGACCTATGCACAAAGAAGCACTGATACAGTAAGCTGCTCTCCAGGTGGCCACTAAAATATACAATGTACTACAATATAATATATAATATACAATGATGACATAACATGTGACTATAGGTATTTTTGTCTGTATAAAATAGAGCTGATTGACCATTGTCTAATACATATGAAATGTATGTTCTCTTGTTCTAATGGCTTATTGTCATCTGTAAACTTCCTTTAAGGGTAATTAATTAAGGGAAAGTTGATGACATTGTATAGGTTGTTCCTGTAGGTGCTGTCAGGTTGGCTGGCACATTAAAATATGAGAGGGTGAGTCACTCTAATTGCACTGTTCTGTTGCTGTGGCATTGGGATATTTAATTGGTTGGTAATATTATGTCAGTTGGTTTTTTAGGCCATGTGGGTTTCATTTCAGTAGGGACAGCATTGTTTTCCTCCAATGGGTGGCTAATTAACATAGAGACAATTCTGAAATGCAGGGAAGAAGCTGTGATTAAGCTGTAGGCTACCAGGGTTTGTAATTTCAATGAACAGCAGCCTGCCTCATCAACATGAGAGGTGGCTGTGAATATGTGTCTACTTAAACATAAATCCAGATCTTACTGTCTTCGTTAATGTGGGTGGGCATGCACACACATCTATAATGTCAGCAGGATGAATTTGATTCAATCAGCATTTTATTTGGAACGTTTTAGTAGGTCTAGGGCCAATTCGCTTTGCGCTCATAGCTATTAGGCTACTTGATTTACTTGGGTATATTCTTAGTGATCAATTAAAATGTTTATTGATAGCGCTATATTTACTACTATTATAGACAATTGGAGCACAACGTTCATATCTTTATTATTCTGAGTAGCATATGCATCAATGTAGTCTTGGAATGATCTAGGAGTATAAAATGGTTTGGAGAATAATAATCTATGTTTAATAATATCCCCATAGTAATCGTAAATTTACTTTTGTGTTCATAACATTTAAAATTTAAGGATGGAGATCATACAGGCGCCTCTCGAGTCGCTCTCTCCGATGTAAGTAAATGGTTAACTGAAGGAGGCGCTTTCAATTCCGTTATATTTCTGCGCGATGACGTCGCACATTGGTTTCACTCGCCAGTCGCCAGGACTTCCACAACTACGGTTAATCCGAGTCTCACCAGCAGCCAAAGCCTCTCAACAGCGGGACAAACATCTCGAGAATGGGCAACTGTCAAGTGAGTACCATCCTTTAAAAAAAATATTTGTATCATTTTACGCACCAAACGTAGGCCTATGCGCATGTTGAAGTTGCTGCGAGAAATGCGAATTAAAATGTTAAAGTTTAGGCCCCAATGGTCAGATTTTTTTTTTATTTTTTATGTGAAAAAACGTAGTAAAACGAGGCAGATCTATTGGAAAGTTTAGGCCTATATGTTGAATATGTTTTTACAATTTCTGTGTAAATGTTTCATTGTAAGGGATATTGTAATGTCAAAACGACATTCCACACTAATCTCAAATACAATCTCGCGTCATTTGGTCAATTGAGTGCAGAATCTGTCCACGGGAGATTACACTATACCACAATTGAATGTGGGGTTATGGATACGATCATTTTGACTGAGATTGACATTTTTCAAATCCACGTAGCCCTTGACATTTTTCTATGGGTTTTTCAAATCCACATAGCCCTTGACAGTGAGGCCGGGGAAAACGCAGAGGAAGTGGCCACTGCGGAATTCGTCACAATCCGGTTAGATGAATGTAGGCCTAAACAATGAGTGAATCCGAGAGGAATGGTACCGATAGGAGTAGGGGGATGAGGGTGTTTCCACAGTCATCTCAATTTCGGCTATGGGGCGCTGCGCCTCTCTACTTTGTTTGGTTAACACACAGCAGCGGCCAAATTCCTGAGCCATTGCAGTTCATGCCATTGCAGTTCATTGCATTGTCCCACATGTCATGTTACATTCTAATAGGCCAACTACAGTTTTATTACATATCTGAACAATTGATTCAAAACTTTTATAAAGCTATTCAGATGTACAATCTTTCTCATCGACGGGGCTGTAGTGGAACAGGTTGAGAGCTTCAAGTTCCTTGGTGTCCACATCACCAACGAACTATCATGGTCCAAACACACCAAGACAGTCGTGAAGAGGGCACGACAAAGCCTATTCCCCCTCAGGAGACTAAAAAGATTTGGCATGGGTCCTCAGATCCTCAAAAAATTCTACAGCTGCACCATCGAGAGCATCCTGACTGGTTGCATCACCGCCTGGTATGGCAACTGCTTGGCCTCTGACCGCAAGGCACTACAGAGGGTAGTGCGTACGGCCCAGTACATCACAGGGGCAAAGCTCCCTGCCATCCAGGACCTCTATACCAGGCGGTGTCAGAGGAAGGCCCTCAAAATTGTCAAAGACTCCAGTCACCCTAGTCATAGACTGTTCTCTCTGCTACCGCACGGCAAGCGGTACCGGAGTGCCAAGTCTAGGTCCAAAAGACTTCTCAACAGCTTCTACCCCCAAGCCATAAGACTCCTGAACAGCTAATCATTGGCTACCCGGACTATTTGCACTGCCCCCCCACCCCATACTTTTTACGCTGCTGCTACTCTGTTAAGTATTTATGCATAGTCACTTTAACTCTACCACATGTACATATTACCTCAACTACCTCAACTAGCCGGTGCCCCCGCACATTGACTATGCAACGGTACCCCCCTGTATATATAGCCTCCCTACTGTCACTTTATTCTATTGTATATATAGCCTCCCTACTGTCACTTTATTTTTACTTCTGCTCTTTTTTTCTCAACACTTTTTTGTTGTTGTTTTATTCTTACTTTTTTGTTTAAATAAATGCACTGTTGGTTAAGGGCTGTAAGTAAGCATTTTCACTGTAATGTCTGCACCTGTTGTATTCGGCGCATGTGACCAATAACATTTGATTTGATTTGATTTGATTTGATTGGTGGCACCTACTATGTGTGTCTTTTTAATTCCCAACACAACAATGAGATACAATGGTGGTAGTTGTGTTGTGTTGATATTAGCATTTTATTGTCTTGTTTATGTCATAACAACTACTTTTATGTTAATTTAAGCCCACTATCGTGCCATATGAGGAGTTTGATGTTATGGTTGATATAAAGGCCATACGCAAAGCCTGTAAAGGCTTGGGTAAGTTGCAATATTTTTAGTTAATTTATAACTATGGCATTCCAGGGAAGCTTCTGCTCAATGAGTGAGAGATTGTTTGGAAAGGTCTGTCAATGTGGATTTACTTATAATTAACTAATAATAATAATAATAATAATAATAATAATAATATGCCATTTAGCTGTGCAGTTGCTGTTTAAAGGTTCAGTGTTGCACCATAGTCCAATTGTTTTAATTGTATGATTGTGTTCTGTTGTGCAGGCACTGATGAACAAGCCATCATTGACATACTGGCTAACCGCTGTGCAGCCCAGCGGATGGAAATTAAACAAGCCTATTTTGATAAGTATGATGATGTGAGTATCAAACACATTCTATTAGAAGTAGAAGAATCTGACCATAGCACCGGTTCCAATCCAAGTGCCAATGCCGTTTAGCAAACTCCAGTCGGTGCTATGGTCAGATTACATGAAAATAAAGCTCTTTGGCCACGCATACAAGTCGTGGGTTTGGCGTCGAAAAATGGATGCATATGCAGAAAAGAGCCTCATACCTACTGTAAAATATGGTGGTGGATATTTGATGTTATGGGGCTATTTTGCTTCCATTTGTCCTGAGGCCTATGTTAAGGTCTAAGACATTTAAAGTACTAGGACATTTTAGCGCAAAACCTGGTTGCCTCTACCAAGAGGCTGAAACTTTGCTGCAAGTGGATCTTCCAGCAAGACAATCACCCCAAGCACACATCAAAATCCACAAAGAAATTGTTAATTGACCACAAAATCAACATTTTGTCATGGTCTTGGACTTGAACCCCATTGAAAACCTGTGGTTTGAGTTGAAGAGGGCAGTCCATAAGCGCAGACGAAGGATATCAAGGATCTGGAAAGTTTCTGTTTGAAAGAATGGTCAAAGATCCCTCCCAATGTGTTCTACAATCTCTCTCTCTCTCTTTCTCTCTTTCTCTGGAGAAGGAGTTGGTGGATGTGCTGAAGAGTGAACTGGGGGGGAACTTTGAGAATGCCGTCCTGGCCATGCTGGACCCTCCAGTCGTCTATGCAGTGAAGGAGCTCAGGAGGGCCATGAAGGGAGCAGGCACTGATGAGGATACTCTGGTGGAGATTCTGTGCACTGCCACAAATGATGTACGTTTCAGTTTCATTCTGAGGAGAATCATATAAGTCATGGGAAATAGAACATTTGAAACATAATGGTCTGATTTATTTTTCTATCTTTCTTTCCCAACAGGATATTCACATGTTCAAAGAATGCTACTTTCAGGGTAAGTACCAATGCCACCCCTCCCTCAATCAAGTTGTCTTTTTACATAATTATGTTGTGAACGAAGGAGGAAACTCATTGGGCTCGAGTTAATAGTTGGCATAACTTGAGAAACCCATAAGGCTTTGCAGCATACAGGTCACCTTATCAAAATCAAATGTATTGGTCGTGTACACAGATTTGCAGATGTTTTCGCAGGTGCAGTGAAATGCTTGTGTTTCTAGCTCCAACAGTGCAGTAATACTTATCAATAAAAAAACAATACACACATAATCCCCTCCCCCCCCCAAAAAAATAATAATATTTGGATGAGACATGACTAGAATACAGTATATACATATATATACATATAAAGTGGGTGAAACAGTATGTAAACATTGTTCAAGTGACCCATGTTTAATGACTATGTACACAGGGCAGCAGTCTCTAAGGTGCAGGGAAGAGTACCGGGTGGTAGCCGGCTAGAACAGTGACCTAAGGTTCAGGGCAGGGTACTGGGCGGAGTCCGGCTAGTGGTGACTATTTAACAGTCTGATGGCCTGGAGATAGAAGCTGTTTCTCAATCTCTCGGTCGCAGCTTTGATGCACCTGTACTGTCTCCGCCTTCTAGATGGTAGCAGGGTGAACAGGCCGTGGCTCGGTGGCTGAGGTCCTAGATGATCTTCTTTGCCTTCCTGTGACACTGGGTGCTGTAGATTTCCTGGTGAGCAGGCAGTACCAGGCGGTACCTGCTGTACCAGGCGGTGATACTGCCTGACAGGGTGCTTCTGTAGAAGTTGGTGAGGCCAAGCCGAATTTCTGTTTGTGCCTTCTTCACCACTCTGTCTATGTGAATGGACCATTTCAGGTTGCCAGTGATGTGCATGCCGAGGAACTTGAAGCTTTTGACCCTCTCCACTACACTGCGGCCCCTTCGATGTGGATGGGGGCGTGCTCTCTCTTTTGTCTCCAGTAGTCCATGATCAGCTCCTTTGTTTTGTTGAGGGAAAGGTTATTCTCCTGGCACCACTCCGTCAGAGCTCTCACCTCCTCCCTGTAGGCTGTCTCTTCAGGCCTACCACTGTTGTCAGCCAACTTGATGATTGAGTTGGAGACGTGCGTAGCCACGCAGTCATAGGTGAACAGGGAGTACAGGAGTGGGCTGAGCACGCACCCCTGTGCGGTCCCCGTGTTGCGGATCAGCGCCCGTCAGGAAGTTCAGGACCTAGTTGCACAGGGAGGGTTTCAGTCCCAGTTTACCTAGCTTAGTGATGGGCTTTGAGGTCACTAATGGTGTTGAAGGCTGAGCTGTAATCCATGAACAGCATTCGCAAATGCTGCCATCTATCCATGGTTTTTGGTTTGGATAAGTTCTAACTGAACCAGTGTCATTCTGTTTCGATTCTGCCCATCCTGTTATTGTTTTCTGTACTGCTGATTCACTTTTGATTAGGGTTGCGATTAAAAAACGCATCTTGTTTTCATGACACCCATAATAACAAGATATATTTTTTAGCCACAATCTTGAATCAAAAGCGAATCAGCAGTACAGAAAACAACAACAGGATGGGAATAATCTTAATAGAATGACACCGGCTTTCCACCATGCCTTCCCCATTTGCTCAAATAGAATAATGACATCAGCAGTTATAAATAACAAGGGAACACCCATTCCTCTGCCCTTAATCTCATATTAACTCTCTCTCTCTCTCTCTCTCTTTCTCTTTGTTTCTCTGTGAATTCTCTAGTGCATGAACGGGACCTGGAATCAGATGTCGAAGGGGACACTAGTGGAGATGTGAGAAACCTGCTCACTGCTCTTTTACAGGTAAGTGGCCCCATGGTTTCACTCTTGGACTCTTGCCATGTAACACAATTCCCTTCCGTGTCTTTGGACTGAAATCAAGCTCCCTCTGCCTGGCCTCTCTCTTAACCCCAAGTGTCTCTCTCTCTTTCTATCTCACTCACTCACTCACACACACACAAACACTGGCTGGTTGGCTGTCTGCCTGCTTTTCCGATTTCCTTTCATTAGTAAAATGGTGGCCAGATACAATATCCTGAGCCAGACAGAAAGGCTACATTTCATCTCACCACAGAAGTCAGTGAAAGCTTTCTGTTCTAGGGCACCAGAGATGAGAGTTACGATGTGGATGAGGGTCTGGCTGAAGCAGATGCCACCGCCCTATTTGAGGTATGGCATAGAGAAGTGCATTCAAGAAACAATAGTATCAAGAAGTGTATTTACCTGTTTAATTGAAATCATATTTACTATTTAGGCTGGTGAGGGATGTTTTGGAACTGATGAATCCACTTTCAGCTTCGTCCTGGCCAACAGAAACTACCTTCAGCTTCAGGCCACCTTCAAGGTGTATGAGCAGGTGGGTCCACTATTAGCAGCCTATGTCTGTTCACACAAGCTGAAATGAGTGCCTTGAATATTTATAGATATAAATAATAATATATGGTTATACTTCAATGTAGTTTATTTAGAACCTGTGGTAAGTCTATTTAATTGGAAGCACATCAGGCTCCATTTGTTGTAGCTATCCTCTGTACAAGTGTGTATGCTTATATTCATTCCCTCCCTGCTTTCCCCAGCTCTCTGGAACAGAAATACTGGATGCCATTGATAATGAGGTCTCTGGGACACTGAAGGACTGCTACATCACACTTGGTATGTATACAACTTGGCTTGTGTGTGTGCGTGCAGAGATCATCTGAGGGCAGAGATGCCGAAGGGATGCATGTGACTCGAGTAAAGCGGGTATTACTCAGTATTTAGTTGGTTGTGTGGGTGACTGTTCAGAATTTCCTCTACCTAGCCTGCCTTTGTTCAAAATGTGAAATGGTGTTTTACGATACAGGCCTATTAACCAGTAACAAATTAGAAGTAACTGACAGTATATTTCAATGCCTTTTGATTTTCTCTTTTCAGTGAGGGTTGCTAAGAACCCTCAGTTGTATTTTGCCCGGCGACTGAATGAAGCCATGAAAGGAGCTGGCACTGATGAGGACACCCTCATCCGCATCCTTGTATGTCGCTCTGAGGTACAGTAACACATGGATCCAAACTCTCTGACAGAAACTTAGCATTGTGCTTGGCTCTATCAGACACCAAATCATTTGTGACCACTGACTACATTGTGATTACATACATCTAATTGGTTTTGGAATACTTTCTGTTATGGACACTTGATCATTTCTCCATAGCACATTTATAAACCATGCAAAATATGAAAACCGGGGGAGGCTATGCTATACTAACTTTGTGGACTATCATGGCAACACTTGAAGGCATTATACATGGCTCAGGGAATTGTGTGATCATTAAGAAAATGCCCCTTTTAGACTACTTGACATGGAATCTAAAAGCAGACAAACGTCAGCTAATGAGATAAGTGTTTTCTGTTCAACAGTATGATCTGGAGACCATTAAAGACATGTACCTGGAGAAGTACGACATGTCCCTGAAGGATGCCATCAAATCTGAGTGTGGTGGGGACTTCAAACGTCTCCTGCTGGCTATCTGCCATTGAGAGAGAAAGATTGAGAGGGGAAAGACAGAGCTGATAGAGAGCAGAGTGCCTAAAAGGGACAGAGGGTGCTGCTGCTCACTCCTAGTCAAACTAACACTACTTACAATCGGTCCTACTGTCCTCAAACATGTGACGTTCTCGGATAGGGCAGGGGGTGGTACTGGAGATAGCTCAAATCCAGCTGGTTCTGTTCTCCTGATTTGGCATTGAAGTCTAGGTTCCCTACAAAGTGTTATCATCAATATGTGGCTGCTATATTTGATCTACTTATCTAAAGGCAGTTGGATGCTTATAACATACCATGTGATGTGATTGGTTTTGATCGAGAGAAGTGCTAGGACTAGAGACTTACCGTAGACCAGCAATCCACATTACCAGTGAAACTTAGTAGCCCTAGTCCTTGAAATTCTGTTTACTGTGTACAGTTGTGTGACTAGATCTCAAATTCCTAAATTCTCTTTTCTGCAGTCAAATTGGCTAAGTGAAGTTCAGTAGGATCAGGTGTTTCACTGCTTGGTAGGAAGGTCAGTCTGCACACAAAAGGGCATTTGTAGGAACTGGGACTGGGTGTAGCTGGAAGATTACGGTTATAGCATTGTATTGGACCGACATAATAGCTCAAATATGTGATGGCTCACATTTTTGGGCTTGCATTTAAAATGATCTGCAAACATTTGGTCCATGCTTAGTGAGACACCAAATGGATTTGATCTATCCAGTGCCAGTATCTTCCACCCCAAACTCCATCTTCAGTATTAACGAGTGTTTAGAACTGTTAGCTAGCTAGTTATATGCAATCTGTCCATCTACCTTGAAGTTACAACTTAAATGAAGGAGAAATGAAAGTGTCCTTATGAAGCGATGGTATTTTATATGACAAGAAGAAGGACATGAATCAATGCACATATAATTGGATTTTGTTTTTAAATAATCAACACTCCCACTCCAAAGATAACTGCAATGTAATTATACTGACTGATTAATCTTCATGTTGTCAGTCGAAAACAGTTATTTAATCAAAAAAAGTAACTATGCATTGACTTCATGCTTCAATATGTTGCAAGCAAGGGAAACTGCCGTGACAAATCTTCAAACACCTCATAAAATGTTTGTATTGCAAGACTAACACTTAAGATGTGTATTAAAACTATTAACTGTATTAAGACTGCAGCATTATATATCATACACATGTGTTTAAATATTTACTGTATACACAAGAAGGTATTTGAAAAGGTCTCGGAAGGTATTTGAGAAAAAGATTTAGAGTTGTAAGTATGAAGTATGTAAACTCTTTGAATAGCATGATCTAAAATGTTATGACACTAACTGTCAATTCTGTGTCCCATAACGGCAGCAGTATTTTTAACATATTCCTATATTAGGAATTAGGTCATATTATAAAGTCCTGTAATCTCATATGAATAACTTGAGATATTTGTAACAATTTATAATGCTGGCTAGGCTACTATGAATTCCATGCAAGAGAGGAAATGTTAACAGGGTTCAGACCATGCTCACCTGCCCTTATGGAAATATATGGAATAGGGACCAATATTTGCCTTTGTATCAGCTAAAGAATCTGTTTGGTAACAAATAAATACATGCAAATTACAGAATAAAATCGATGTTCTAAAATTATTTTTTTGTGTCTTTTTTTTGTGAACATAGGTCTGTTTTTTTGTGTGTTTTTTTGTGTTTTATTTAACCTATATTTAACTAGGCAAGTGTTTATATAATCACATTTTCTGTACCTATTCAATAAGTTTATTGGCCTATATAAAGGCCTACATATATAAATATTATTATAAATATAATTAGTGTAGAAGGGGACATTTTACACTCAAACTGCAAGGTGCTCATGTTTCAAAGTTGAAGCTCATTTACTGCATTTCTACACCATCTTTTAACTGTAAAATGGTGTTTGGAGAGCTGCTGTAGCTTCCTTCACCTCAGTCGATAGGGGATTAAGTATTCCGTCATACAGCAATGGACAGCTGGGACACTTTTTTCGGCTATGAATGAACCCAGTGTGAAACGACAGGAATTCGCCCATCGGTTGATGCAATTCATAGACTGCACAGGAGAAGACAAACTTAATATTCAACCATCTGTCCTTATAATGAAGTTTGTTGCATGCTCTCTGTGATGAGTCTTTGGTCGTGTTACCCTGCTTAGATGTTGCATGCATCAACCAATGGTTACATGCCACCTCATTGACTGTTCTGTCAGGGACCAGATTGCAATAACGTGGGTCGTGTTCCTCTGCTCAGACCAATGACTGTAAATGAATGGACAAAGCCATCGATCACGTGAAACCATTCATTCCTATGTAGAGACTGAATAGCGCATTGAAGCCAAATGAAGTCGGTTAAGATGGCGTCTCATGGAGACATGAAATGCTCAGTTTAAGATACTCTAGGAAGTGACGTTGCAGGCTAGCTCAGTGCTGCTCCCTCTCATTGAGTAACTCAAATTGAAGGCTGACCTGGGTACTGCAGTCTGCCATTAGCAACTACATTATCCATAATTATTATTCTGGGTGCGATTTTAAAATAATCGGTTCAAGGACATACATCTGGTGTGTTAGAAGCAATTATTGTTACCATGATTTTCTTAAATTTCTTTATTTATGCAAAGACTGACCACGAAGATTGCCATTTTTCCATTCACTATAATGGGGATCCTGTTTTCTGCTAACAATGCCTGCAGTACCGAGGTCGGCCTTGAACTTCTGGGGCTTCAATGAGAGGGGGCAGTCCTTCTCCCCTGGGTGCAATTACCATGAAAGTCCTGGGCCAGAGATACTGGCCCTGGGCCAGAGGTACTGGATATAATGACGACATATCTATGTCTCCACTCTAATAATGGAATTCGTTGTCCACAGAGCGGAACGGTGGGCTGTCAAGCTCCTGCCTATTCATCTATTTCAACACTTTTTTGAATATTCGATGATGTGTGTTGACGTCAACCGCCTGTATTCAATGGAGCGTGAGATGCTATGCTAGCCTCATGAATATGCATAGACCGTCTCGAATTTCAACAGGGAAAACTCCAATATAAAATGTTTTTCTCAAAGTTGCCGGGATGTCACGTGCATTACACTTATATCAGTAAACTCGTAACAACCTAAGTATTAAGAAACGTATATTAGCTCAAATAAACCTCACGTATCAAAATAGCAATTCATTTTTATCTTGACTAACTTTGATGCTCCCTCATTGCCCCCCATACTAAAACGCCTCACTTGCTTAATAATTAATGATCTGCTTAACGTGGACAGATTTTGGGGCAGAGTAAACCCTCTTGCTTCGCCTCTTCCGCTCTGCCTGGGCTTAGAGCAGGGGTGTCAAACTAATTCCATGGAGGGCCTAGAGTCTGCTCGGTTGTCTTTTGTCCTTTAAATTAAGACCTAGACAACCAGGTGAGGGGAGTCCCTTACTAATTAGTAACCTAAATTCGTTATCATCGAAAACCCGGAGACATTCGGCCCTCCGTGGAATGAGTTTTGCAACTTGGCTTAGAGTTTTAGCAAAGATAAGTTTAGAAACTCAGTGGTTTTAGCTAGAGACGGAAGAGGAAGCGAGACACTCCACACACTGTTCTTTTCTGGTTCAATGAAAGTAAATTAACTAAATCATATTTAACTTAGGGCCCCCAAAAGGCTAGGGCCGGCTCTGACTGCATGTGTGGGTATGGATGTGGCTACACAGATCCATGAGCCACTGCAGCCCCTCATGATGAGTTCAGATTTTTTTTGTGGCCCCCACCACAATCAAAGTTGCACATCCTTGAACTAAGTAGACTAGGCCCAGCTGCTATTTCATTGGTGTCTATGGGAGCCACACACAGTTAAGTAGACCGGAACTGACACATTTATTTCAAATATAAACGGCCTGAGTGAACTATCTTCATTTATCCACCATCTTTGGTGTTTGCCTTGCAAGCCGCCTGATCTCGTGAGTTTACATGAATGTTCGCTACCACGTCTGGTAAGTACAAGGAATCGACTACATTCCACAGTGATCTCAACACAGCGGGACAAATATCTATAAAATGGGAAACTGCCAAGTAAGTACCGAAACCTACCATCCTTTTATAATTTTACAAAGATGTAATAAAACTAAGTAAAACCGAGGCAGGTCGATTGAAAATGATAGGCATTTGTGAATATTATCTAGGCTACTGTGTAGGCCAATACGTTTTTTATTTGTTGATTAATTATCATTGTAAGGGGTGGATTACAACGTTATAACGCCATCAGAAAACTATTTTGATTTTGTAGCCGACATTCCACACTATACCGCAATTTAATGTGGGATTATAATAGATGATGCCATTTTTATTCAGATTGACACATTGTGTAAAATCTGTCACCGTGATTTTTTAAATCCACATGCCCTACAAATTACACACTAGCGCATGTGACAGGACTGAAGAAACGCAGAGGAAGCAATCCTGTTAAAATTAACCTAAATAATGAACAAGTGAATCAGAGAGGAAGTGTACGGGTGGGAGCAGAGGATGAGGGTGGTTCATAGAGATAGATAGAGGACTCATCTTTGTATCTTTGCTAATATGGAGTCTGCGACAGCATGGGCAACGCCATTGCTATCTCCATTTTAAAGTGGTCAAAATTATTATTATTTTGTGTTTGAAAAAAGCATAACGCTAATATTGGGGATTGAACCAAATCTTGTGCGTCATTAAGTTATTGTGGCCACTAGATGGCAGTGATATACCAGTAGCTTTAAGCCATTTACCAACCAAAGGCAACTCAATTTGAAGAAGAACGCAATGCTCTGATCGTTGGCTGATCACTCCCAACCCATAGGAATACCCACCCAGTTGACTACTATAAAATGTTGAAAGCCCTCAATGGGACTGTCCATGCTAAAACGGTTATATCCATCTAGAGTCCTCTATCTATTTCTATGGGGTGTTTCCATTGTCATGTCTCAATTTCGGCTATGGGGCGCTGCACCCATATACTTTGTTTGATAAACACACATCAGCTGCCAAATTCCTGAGCCAGTGTATTTCTTGTCATTTCAGCTCAATGTATTCTCCCCTCCCCATGTCATGTTACATTGTTTCTAATACTACAGTGTTATTACATAATACATATGTGAAAGGCCTATTGATTTAAATGTTTTTAAACTATTGTGATGTTAAATAGTTAATTTTTTACTAGGATTGGAAGGGATGGTAGACTAGTACAGTCTACTATATAAGGCAAAGTATGCATCAAACTGCTCCCAAAACGTTTGTATTATGGTGTTTTTTTGTGTGGATATTAGCTCTGATGTAGAGCATGTCATAACAATTATATTTATGTTAATTTAGCCCACAATCATGCCATATGAGGACTTTGATGTTGCGGCTGACATAAAGGCCTTACGCAAAGCCTGCAAAGGCTTGGGTAAGTTGCAATTTTTTTTGTTAATTTGTAACATTCCAGGGATGTCTCTGCTCAATGAGTGAGAGATGTATGGGTTTACCTACAATGAACAAATAGCTGTGCCTATGCTATTTAATGGTACAAGGTTGTGCCATAGTCCAAATAGGGCCTAAGCGTGGTACTTGTGTTTTGTTTATGATTGTATTTTGTTGCACAGGCACTGATGAACAGGTCATCATTGACATACTTACTAACCGCTGTGCAGCCCAGCGCATGGAAATGAAACAGGCCTATTTTGACAACTATGAGAATGTGAGTATCATACTCATTCATTTAAAAGTACAGGAATTATGTACATCTTATACCGCACCAAGAAATATGTAGTTTTGCATAACCGAAATGTGTGGCTAATTTGAGGAAACCAGCTAACCACACCCATACTCTCTTTCTCTCTCTCTCTCTCTCTCTCTCTCTCTCTCTCTCTCTCTCTCTCTCTCTCTCTCTCTCTCTGGAGAAGGAGTTGGTGGATGTGCTGAAGAGCGAGCTGGGGGGGAACTTTGAGAATGCCGTCGTGGCCATGCTGGACCCTCCAGTCATCTATGCAGTGAAAGAGCTGAGGAAGGCCATGAAGGGAGCAGGCACTGATGAGGATACTCTGGTGGAGATTCTGTGCACTGCCACAAATGCTGTACGTTTCAACCTGTCCTGAGTAGAATCATAAGTATTATGGGCAATAGAAACATTTTCAAGATTAGACGCAAACAGTCTTCTCTTTCTTTCCCAACAGGATATTCACGTGTTAAAAGAATGCTACTTTCAGGGTAAGTATCAATGCCACCCTCACACTGCACCTTAAAGCTGGAATCCTTAATGGTGAAACAGCCACATCCAATTGCGATGTTACATCAACAAAGAAATGACTGCAAACAACAAACACGTTTTTTAAATCTGGGACATCATTGCAGGTGCGATAGAAGAGCACAATATGTACTGCACATTTTTTGTTACCATGCTGCGCAACGCTCCTCAGCTCGGGAACAAAAACAATAACAACAGTGGTTGGGCGGCCAGTGGCGCTGTTTCTCCCCCTTTAACTTAATCTAGTTGTGTTTTTGCATAATTAATAAAGGAAGAAGCCCTGAAGTGAACCTAACTCATTTGGCTAGTTTAGGGCAAGAGTTCATAGTTTGCATGACCTGTAAAGTCCATAGGCTTGCAATCTCAACCACACTGGTCACCTTATTCTGCTCATCCTGTTGTTTTCTGTACTTCTGAATCTGTTCTGATTTGGGATTGTGATTAAAATACATATCTTGTTGTTATGGGTGGCTTTCCAACATGCCTTTTTCCCATTGGCTTAGATAGAATAATGATATCAGTGGTCATAACAACAAGGGAACACCTATTCCTCTGTGCCTCTCAATGTTACATCTGCCTTTAATTATATATTCCTTATTTTTACATTGCGTTCTCTCTCTCTTTGTTTCTCTGTGACTTCTCTAGTGCATGAACGGGACCTGGAATCAGATGTCGAAGGGGACACTAGTGGAGATGTGAGAAACCTGCTCACTGCTCTTTTACAGGTAAGTGGCCCCATGGTTTCACTCTTGGACTCTTGCCATGTAACACAATTCCCTTCCGTGTCTTTGGACTGAAATCAAGCTCCCTCTGCCTGGCCTCTCTCTTAACCCCAAGTGTCTCTCTCTCTTTCTATCTCACTCACTCACTCACTCACACACACACACACACAAACACTGGCTGGTTGGCTGTCTGCCTGCTTTTCCGATTTCCTTTCATTAGTAAAATGGTGGCCAGATACAATATCCTGAGCCAGACAGAAAGGCTACATTTCATCTCACCACAGAAGTCAGTGAAAGCTTTCTGTTCTAGGGCACCAGAGATGAGAGTTACGATGTGGATGAGGGTCTGGCTGAAGCAGATGCCACCGCCCTGTTTGAGGTATGGCATAGAGAAGTGCATTCAAGAAACAATAGTATCAAGAGGTCGATTTTACCTGTTTAATTTCAACCATATTTACTATTTAGGCTGGTGAGGGATGTTTTGGAACGGATGAATCCACGTTCAACTTTATTCTGGCCAAAAGAAACTATCTGCAACTTCAGGCCACCTTCAAGGTGTATGAGCAGGTGGGTCCACTATTAGCAGCCAAGTCTGTTGTCAGTCAATTTGTTTTTTACACACTGCAGGCTCCTTGTGATGTGTCCTCTGTACTGCTGTGTATGCTTAGTGTTATGCTAACCCTTTTTCCTTTGTCCCAGCTTTCTGGAACAGAAATCCTGGATGCCATTGAGAATGAGGTCTCTGGGACACTGAAGGGCTGCTACATCACACTTGGTGTGTACACAACTTAAAAGCACTACATTAAACTAGATTAAAAAGTAACTCACTTGAATGCGATGTGTCAGGTGCCTTCCAAATACCCATTTTTATTTTGGTTCAGAAAATCAGTGTATTTTAAGGCATTTTCTCTTTTCAGTGAGGGTTGCTAAGAACCCTCAGCTTTATTTCGCCCGGCGACTGAATGAAGCCATGAAAGGAGCAGGCACTGATGAGGACACCCTCATCCGCATCATCATATGCCGCTCTGAGGTAATATATGGACTTACACTCTCTGACAGAGTCTTAGGATCGTGCTTTTCTCTATCAAAGACACCAAATAAGTTTGTGACCACTGACTACATGCATCGAATTGATATTAAATACTTTATTTTATGGTAACATTTGTATGATATGAAAATAGGTTTGGGTTGTGTCATCCAGAGAGGCTATGCTAACCTTGTGGACTACCTCAGCAACAATTGCAAAGGCATTATACTGTACATGGCTCCGGGAAATCATTAAGAAAATGCCCCTTTTAGACTACCTGACTCGGTTGATGAATCTAAAAGCAGACAAAGGTCAGCTGATGAGATAAGTGTTTTCTGTTCAACAGTATGATCTGGAGACCATTAAAGACATGTACCTGGAGAAGTATGACATGTCCTTGAAGGATGCCATCAAATCTGAGTGTGGTGGGGACTTCAAACGTCTCCTGCTGGCTGTCTGCCATTGAGAGAGGGAGAGAGAGGGGGGAGAGAGAGCGGGAGAGAGGGGGAAGGAGGGAGGGAGGGAGGGAGGGAGGAAGAGAGGGGGAGGGAGGGAGAGAGAGAGAGAGAGAGAGAGAGAGAGAGAGAGGAGAGAGAGAGAGAGAGAGAGAGAGAGAGAGAGAGAGAGAGAGAGAGAGAGAGATCACAGAGTGCCTGAAACCAAGGGACCAAGGGTGCTGCTGCTCACTCCTGGTCAAACTAACACTACTTACAATCGGTCCTACTGTCCTCAAACATGTGACATTCTCGGATAGGGCAGGGGGTGGAAATGGAGATAGCAAAAAATCCAGCTGGTTCTGTTCTCCCGATTTTGCATTGAAGTCTAGGGGTCCCTACAAAAGTGGCATGAGTATACTAAAGGCAGTTGTGTGCATGTGACACGATTTGTTTTGATGGAGAGGAGTGCTAGGACTAGTATAGAGACTTAACATACTGTACCTTAGACCAACAATCCATATTACAGATTGGAACTTATAGTGGCTCTAGTCCTTGAAGTTATGTCTAGATATCACATTCCCAACATTCTCTTTTCTGCAGTCAAATTGGCTAAGTGAAGTTCAGTAGGATCAGGTGGTTCAGTGCTTGGCTGGAAGGTCAGTCTGCACACAAAAAGGCATTTGTAGGACCTGGAACAGGGTGTAGCTGGAAAATTACAGTATATTATTGTATTGAACTTATCAGTCTTATACAGATAAGACCAATGTCCAAAGCAGCATGTACATTTCATTTGACCTGTAATGCACAAATATGTAGCAGTTTATAAATCATTTCTATTTCAACATGACATGCATTGCTGATAGAAGTGCATTGCATAGAGCGGTGATAACGAATATTTGGACCCACCTGGTAGCTTGTGTACAAATATGTGATGGTTCATATTTTTAGGCTTGCATTTTAAATGAGCAGCAAACATTTAGTCCATGTTTAATGAGACGCCATATAGATTTGATCTATCCAGTGCCAGTATCTTCCACCCCAAACTCCATCTTCAGTATTAACAAGTGTTTAGAACTGTTAGCTAGGGTATTAAAATATTACCTTTATTTAGACTACTGTATTATATATTACATGAATGTGTTTACAGATATAGACACAAAAAGGTGTTGGGGAAGGTATTTGAGACGATGTCAGAAGGTCTGAAAATGTTCTTATGACACTAAGAATAGTCAATTTTGCGTCGCAAAACTGCAGCTGTATTTCTAACATATATTAGGCATTTGGTCATATTAGAAAGTCCTGTAATCTCAGCTGAATAACTTGGGATACCTGTATTTGTAACAATTTATAATGCTGACTACTAATGTGAATTCCATGTAAGAGAGGAAATGTTAACAGGGTTCAGACCATGCTCACCTGCCCTTATGGAAATATATGGAATAGGGACCATATTTGCCTTTGTATCAGCCAAAGAATGTGTTTGGTAACAAATACATACATGACAATTACAGAATAAAATGTATGTTTATTAACACTTTTCTGTTTTTGTGTGTGTTTATGTCTGGTCCTCTGTAGCTCAGCTGGTAGAGCACGGCGCTTGTAACGCCAAGGTAGTGGGTTCGATCCCCGGGACCACCCATACACAAAAATGTATGCACGCATGACTGTAAGTCGCTTTGGATAAAAGCGTCTGCTAAATGGCATATTATATTATATTTTGTAAACATAGGCCTAATATAATCACATTTTCAATAATAATATAGGCATATAGTGGGGGAAAAAAGTATTTAGTCAGCCACCAATTGTGCATGTTCTCCCACTTAAAAAGATGAGAGAGGCCTGTAATTTTCATCATAGGTACACGTCAACTATGACAGACAAATTGAGAAAACAAAATCCAGAAAATCACATTGTAGGATTTTTAATGAATTTATTTGCAAATTATGGTGGAAAATAAGTATTTGGTCACCTACAAACAAGCAAGATTTCTGGCTCTCACAGACCTGTAACTTCTTCTTTAAGAGGCTCCTCTGTCCTCCACTCCTTACCTGTATTAATGGCACCTGTTTGAACTTGTTATCAGTATAAAAGACACCTGTCCACAACCTCAAACAGTCACACTCCAAACTCCACTATGGCCAAGACCAAAGAGCTGTCAAAGGACACCAGAAACAAAATTGTAGACCTGCACCAGGCTGGGAAGATTGAATCTGCAATAGGTAAGCAGCTTGGTTTGAAGAAATCAACTGTGGGAGCAATTATTAGGAAATGGAAGACATACAAGACCACTAATAATCTCCCTCGATTTGGGGCTCCACGCAAGATCTCACCCCGTGGGGTCAAAATGATCACAAGAACGGTGAGCAAAAATCCCAGAACCACACGGGGGGACCTAGTGAATGACCTGCAGAGAGCAGGGACCAAAGTAACAAAGCCTACCATCAGTAACACACTACGCCGCCAGGGACTCAAATCCTGCAGTGCGAGACGTGTCCCCCTGCTTAAGCCAATACGACTGATCCGTGTAAAGGAAAGAATGAATGGGGCCATGTATCGTGAGATTTTGAGTGAAAACCTCCTTCCATCAGCAAGGGCATTGAAGATGAAACGTGGCTGGGTCTTTCAGCATGACAATGATCCCAAACACACCGCCCGGGCAACAAAGGAGTGGCTTCGTAAGAAGCATTTCAAGGTCCTGGAGTGGCCTAGCCAGTCTCCAGATCTCAACCCCATAGAAAATCTTTGGAGGGAGTTGAAAGTCCGTGTTGCCCAGCGACAGCCCCAAAACATCACTGTTCTACAGGAGATCTGCATGGAGGAATGGGCCAAAATACCAGCAACAGTGTGTGAAAACCCTGTGAAGACTTACAGAAAACGTTTGACCTGTGTCATTGCCAACAAAGGGTATATAACAAAGTATTGAGAAACTTTTGTTATTGACCAAATACTTATTTTCCACCATAATTTGCAAATAAATTCATTACAAATCCTACAATGTGATTTTCTGGATTTTTTTTTCTCATTTTGTCTGTCATAGTTGACGTGTACCTATGATGAAAATTACAGGCCTCTCTCATCTTTTTAAGTGGGAGAACTTGCACAATTGGTGGCTGACTAAATACTTTTTCCCCCACTGTATATACACTACCATTCAAAAGTCTGGGGTCACTTAGAAATGTCCTTGTTTTCCATGAAAACATACATGAAATGAGTTTGAATAGGAAATATAGCAAAATGCATAGGAAATGTAGTCATTGACAAGGTTAGAAATAATGATTTTTAATAGAAATAATAATTGTGTCCTTCAAACTTTGCTTTCGTCAAAGAATCCTCCATTTGCAGCAATTACAGCCTTGCAGACCTTTGGCATTCTAGTTGTCAATTTGTTGAGGTAATCTGAAGAGCTTTCACCCCATGCTTCCTGAAGCACCTCCCACAAACTGGATTGGCTTGATGGGCACTTCTTACGTACCATATGGTCAAGCTGCTCCCACAACAGCTCAATAGGGTTGAGATCCGGTGACTGTGCTGGCCACTCCATTATAGACAGAATACCAGCTGACTGCTTCTTCCCTAAATAGTTCTTTCATAGTTTGGAGCTGTGCTTTGGGTCATTGTCCTGTTGTAGGAGGAAATTGGCTCAAATCGAGCTGCTCCCACAACAGCTCAATAGGGTTGAGATCCGGTAACTGTGCTGGCCACTCCATTATAGACAGAATACCAGCTGACTGCTTCTTCCCTAAATAGTTATTGCATAGTTTGGAGCTGTGCTTTGGGTCATTGTCCTGTTGTAGGAGGAAATTGGCTCCAATCAAGCGCCGTAAACAGGGTATGGCATGGCGTTGCAAAATGGAGTGATAGCCTTCCTTCTTCAAGATCCCTTTTACCCTGTACAAATCTCCCACTTTACCACCACCAAAGCACCCCCAGACCACCACATTGCCTCCACCATGCTTGACAGATGGCATCAAGCACTCCTCCAGCATCTTTTCATTTGGTCTGCGTCTCACAAATGTTCTTCTTTGTGATCCGAACACCTCAAACTTCGATTCGTCTGTCCATAACACTTTCTTCCAATCTTCCTCTGTCCAGTGTCTGTGTTCTTTTGCCCATCATCATCTTTTATTTTTATTGGCCAGTCTGAGATATGGTTTTCTAATGATCAATTAGCCTTTTAACATGATAAACTTGGATTAGCAAACACAACGTGCCATTGGAACACAGGACTGATGGTTGCTGATAATGGGCCTCTGTACGCCTATGTAGATATTCCATTAAAAATCAGCCATTTCCATTTCCAGCTACAATAGCCATTTACAACATTAACAAAGTCTATACTGTATTTCTGATAAATTTGATGTTATTTTAATGGACAAAAAATTGCTTTTCTTTCGAAAACAAGGACATTTCTAAGTGACCCCAAACTTTTGAACGGTAGTGTATATATACACTGCTCAAACACTTAAACAACACATCCTAGATCTGAATGAATGAAATAATCTTATTAAATACTTTTTTCTTTACATAGTTGAATGTGCTGACAACAAAATCACACAAAAATTATCAATGGAAATCAAATTTATCAACCCATGGAGGTCTGGATTTGGAGTCACCCTCAAAATTAAAGTGGAAAACCACACTACAGGCTGATCCAACTTTGATGTAATGTCCTTAAAACAAGTCAAAATGAGGCTCAGGAGTGTGTGTGGTTTCCACGTGCCTGTATGACCTCCCTACAACATCTAGGAATGCTCCTGATGAGGTGGCGGATGGTCTCCTGAGGGATCTCCTCCCAGACCTGGAGTAAAGCATCCGCCAACTCCTGGACAGTCTGTGGTGCAACGTGGCGTTGGTGGATGGAGCGAGACATGATGTCCCAGATGTGCTCAATTGGATTCAGGTCTGAGGAACGGACGGGCCAGTCCATAGCATCAATGCCTTCCTCTTGCAGGAACTGCTGACCCACTCCAGCCACATGAGGTCTAGCATTGTCTTGCATTAGGAGGAACCCAGGGCCAACCGCACCAGCATATGGTCTCACAAGGGGTCTGAGGATCTCATCTCGGTACCTAATGGCAGTCAGGCTACCTCTGGTGAGCACATGGAGGGCTGTGCGGCCCCCCAAAGAAATGCCACCCCACACCATGACTGACCCACCGCCAAACCGGTCATGCTGGAGGATGTTGCAGGCAGCAGAACATTCTCCACGGTGTCTCCAGACTGTCATGTCTGTCACATGTGCTCAGTGTGAACCTGCTTTCATCTGTGAAGAGCACAGGGCGCCAGTGGCGAATTTGCCAATCCTGGTGTTCTCTGGCAAATGCCAAACGTCCTGCACGGTGTTGGGCTGTAAGCACAACCCCCACCTGTGGACGTCGAGCCCTCATACCACCCTCATGGAGTCTGTTTCTGACCGTTTGAGCAGACACATGCACATTTGTGGCCTGCTGGAGGTCATTTTGCAGGGCTCTGGCAGTGCTCCTCCTGCTCCTCCTTGCACAAAGGCGGAGGTAGCGGTCCTGCTGCTGGGTTGTTGCCCTCCTACGGCCTCCTCTACGTCTCCTGATGTACTGGTCTGTCTCCTGGTAGCGCATCCATGCTCTGGACACTACGCTGACAGACACAGCAAACCTTCTTGCCACAGCTCGCATTGATGTGCCATCCTGGATGAGCTGCACTACCTGAGCCACTTGTGTGGGTTGTAGACTCGGTCTCATGCTACCACTAGAGTGAAAGCACCGCCAGCATTCAAAAGTGACCAAAACATCAGCCACGAAGCATAGGAACTGAGAAGTGGTCTGTGGTCACCACCTGCAGAAACACTTCTTTATTGGGGGTGTCTTGCTAATTGCCTATAATTTCCACCTGTTGTCTATTCCATTTGCACAACAGCATGTGAAATTTATTGTGAATCAGTGTTGCTTCCTAAGTGGACAGTTTGATTTCACAGAAGTGTGATTGACTTGGAGTTACATTGTGTTGTTTAAGTGTTCCCTTAATTTTTTTGAGCAGTGTATATACAGTGGGGAGAACAAGTATTTGATACACTGCCGATTTTGCAGGTTTTCCTAGTTACAAAGCATGTAGAGGTCTGTAATTTTTATCATAGGTACACTTCAACTGTGAGAGACGGAATCTGTTTGTATGATTTTTAAGTAATTAATTTTCATTTTATTGCATGACATAAGTATTTGATACATCCGAAAAGCAGAACTTAATATTTGGTACAGAAACCTTTGTTTGCAATTACAGAGATCATACGTTTCCTGTAGGTCTTGACCAGGTTTGCACACACTGCAGCAGGGATTTTGGCCCACTCCTCCATACAGACCTTCTCCAGATCCTTCAGATTTCGGGGCTGTCGCTGGGCAATACGGACTTTCAGCTCCCTCCAAAGATTTTTTATTGGGTTCAGGTCTGGAGACTGGCTAGGCCACTCCAGGACCTTGAGATGCTTCTTACGGAGCCACTCCTTAGTTGCCCTGGCTGTGTGTTTCGGGTCATTGTCATGCTGGAAGACCCAGCCACGACCCATCTTCAATGCTCTTACTGAGGGAAGGAGGTTGTTGGCCAAGATCTCGCGATACATGGCCCAATCCATCCTCCCCTCAATTCGGTGCAGTCGTCCTGTCCCCTTTGCAGAAAAGCATCCCCAAAGAATGATGTTTCCACCTCCATGCTTCACGGTTGGGATGGTGTTCTTGGGGTTGTACTCATCCTTCTTCTTCCTCCAAACACGGCGAGTGGAGTTTAGACCAAAAAGCTCTATTTTTGTCTCATCAGACCACATGACCTTCTCCCATTCCTCCTCTGGATCATCCAGATGGTCATTGGCAAACTTCAGACGGGCCTGGACATGCGCTGGCTTGAGCAGGGGGACCTTGCGTGCGCTGCAGGATTTTAATCCATGACGGCGTAGTGTGTTACTAATGGTTTTATTTGAGACTTTGGTCCCTGCTCTCTTCAGGTCATTGACCAGGTCCTGCCGTGTAGTTCTGGGCTGATCCCTCACCTTCCTCATGATCATTGATGCCCCACAAGGTGAGATCTTGCATGGAGCCCCAGACCGAGGGTGATTGACCGTCATCTTGAACTTCTTCCATTTTCTAATAATTGCGCCAACAGTTGTTGCCTTCTCACCAAGCTGCTTGCCTATTGTCCTGTAGCCCATCCCAGCCTTGTGAAGGTCTACAATTTTATCCCTGATGTCCTTACACAGCTCTCTGGTCTTGGCCATTGTGGAGAGGTTGAAGTCTGTTCGATTGAGTGTGTGGACAGGTGTCTTTTATACAGGTAACGAGTTCAAACAGGTGCAGTTAATACAGGTAATGAGTGGAGAACAGGATGGCTTCTTAAAGAAAAACTAACAGGTCTGTGAGAGCCGGAATTCTTACTGGTTGGTAGGTGATCAAATACTTATGTCATGCAATAAAATGCAAATTAATTACTTAAAAATCATACAATGTGAATTTCTGGATTTTTGTTTTAGATTCCGTCTCTCACAGTTGAAGTGTACCTATGATAAAAATTACAGACCTCTAGATGCTTTGTAAGTAGGAAAACCTGCAAAATCGGCAGTGTATCAAATACTTGTTCTCCCCACTGTATATATATATATATATGCACTACCGGTCAAAAGTTTTAGAACAGGGTTTTTCTTTATCTTTACAATTTTCTACATTGTAGAATAGTAGTGAAGACATCAAAACTATGAAATAACACATATGGAACAAAAAAGTGATAAACAAAAAAATATATATTTTATATTTGAGATTCTTCAAAGTAGCCACCCTTTGACTTGATGACAGCTTTGCACACTCTTGGCATTCTCTCAACCAGCTTCATGAGGTAGTCACCTGGAATGCATTTCAATTCACAGGTATGCCTTGTTAAAAGTTAATTTGTGGAATTTATTTCCTTCTTAATGCGTTTGAGCCAATCAGTTGTGTTGTGACAAGGTAGGGTTGGTATACAGAAGATAGCCCTATTTGGTAAAAGACCAAGTCCATATTATGGCAAGAACAGCTCAAATAAGTAAAGAGAAACGACAGTCCATCATTACTTTAAGACATGAAGGTCAGTCAATCTGGAAAATTTCAAGAACTTTGAAAATTTCTTCAAGTGCAGTCGCAAAAACCATCAAGCACTATGATCAAATCAAATCAAATCACATTTTATTTGCCACATGCGCCGAATACAACAGGTGTAGACATCAACGTGAAATGCTTACTTACAGCCCTTAACCAACAATGCATTTCTTTTTTAATAAAAAAGTTAAATAAAACAACTACAACAAAAAAGTGTTGAGAAAGAAAGAGCAGAAGTAAAATAAAATAACAGTAGGGAGGCTATATACAGGGGGGTACCGGTCCGAGTCAATTTGCGGGGGCACCGGCTAGTTGAGGTAGTTGAGGTAATATGTACATGTGGGTAGAGTTAAAGTGACTATGCATAAATTATTAACAGAGTAGCAGCAGCATAAAAAGATTGGGGGGGGGGGGCAGTGCAAATAGTCCGGGTAGCCATGATTAGCTGTTCAGGAGTCTTATGGCTTGGGGGTAGAAGCTGTTGAGAAGCCTTTTGGACCTAGACTAGATGAAACTGGCTCTCATGAGGACCGCCACAGGAATGGAAGACCCAGAGTTACCTCTGCTGCAGAGGATAAGTTCATTAGAGTTACCAGCTTCAGAAATTGCAGCCCAAATAAATACTTCACAGAGTTCAAGTAACAGACACATCTCAACATCAACTGTTCAGAGGAGACTGGGTGAATCAGGCCTTCATGGTCGAATTGCTGCAAAGAAACCACTACTAAAGGACACCAATAAGAAGAAGAGACTTGCTTGGGCCAAGAAACACGAGCAATGGACATTAGACCGGTGGAAATCTGTCCTTTGGTCTGGAGTTTTTTTTGGGGGTGGGGTTCCAACTGTCATATCTTTGTGAGACGTAGAGTAGGTGAATGGATGATATCCGCATGTGTGGTTCCTACTGTGAAGCATAGAGGACGAGGTGTGATGGTGTGGTGGTGCTTTGCTGGTGACACTGTCTGTGATTTATTTAGAATTCAAGGCACACTTAACCAGCATGGCTACCACAGCATTCTGCAGTGATACGCCATCCCATCTGGTTTGCGCTTAGTTGGACTATCATTTGTTTTTCAACAAGACAATGACCCAACACACCTCCAGGCTGTGTAAGGGCTATTTGACCAAGAAGGAGAGTGGATGGAGTGCTGCATCAGATGACCTGGCCTCCACAATCAGCCGACCTCAACCCAACTGAGACGGTTTGGGATGAGTTGGACCGCAGAGTGAAGGAAAAGCAGCCAACAAGTGCTCAGCATATATGGGAACTACTTCAAGACTGTTGGAAAAGCATTCCAGGTGAAGTTGGTTGAGAGAATGCCAAGAGTTTGCAAAGCTGTCATCAAGGCAAAGGGTGGCTACTTTGAAGAATATAGAATATAAAATATATCTTGATTTGTTTAACACTTTTTTGGTTACTACATGATTCCATATGTGTTATTTCATAGTTTTGATGTCTTCAATATTAATCTACAATGTAGAAAATAGTAAAAATAAAGAAAAACCCTTGAATGAGTAGGTGTGTCCAAACTTTTGACTGGTACTGTATGTATCATTAGTGTAGACTTGGCAATTTTACACTCAAACTCCCTAGGTGCTCACGTTTGTCATTGTCACAGGTCAAAGAGCATTTTTCTGACATCACCCCATTGAAGTTAGGGTTAAGGTTAGGGTTAAGTAATGGTTAGGGTTAGGTAAGGATTAGGGTAGGGAAGTTCCAAGGATCCCGGATAGCACTATAACCTTCTCCTCGCCCCTGACACCAACTACAAAGAGACAGCGGCCTCACGCGTCACCTCGGATAGCGGATCGGTCAAAAAAACTGTTAAATAGCGACAACAAGCGGCTATACAGGCTAGGCTACTACGAAGGATGCTCTTATCTGCTGAGACGCATGCATAGGACACCTGCATGACAGAACGACTATTTTGGAAAGAAGTAACCTGCAAACTGCCAAACCTCTGTTTGTAGTGTTAAAATATCTGGAAGTAAAAGTTTTTTCAAGACGGTAAGGTCACAAAGGCTCATTAGTGGCTCTATTTTGCTGCCTAGTTTTCAGCCATTTGCATCCATCTTGAAAGGTTAATTATGGCTGGCAAAGAAATGGTAGCATATTATAATGCATTGACACAATACAACTAACGGTTTAAAGTCAGATTGTTGCGCTAAAACATAGTCATTTGACGGATTTGTTTATATTAAAAACGACTACGTAATGAATATACTGCTATAGTAAGTAAATGATTACTGAAAGATAAAATGCATTGTCCTTTGTACTGCACTTTCATTTGGAATAATTAACAGGGTAACTAATGAATAGTTAATTATTAATAATGACTCACTGACTGTATTGTAAAATACTATATTTTTACTGGATTTACTGCTGTTATGAGCATCTGAGTAAATTTGACAAATCTCTAGGTAGGTGTATGGGTAGACATCTCCATGGAAACCTTGTGTGTGTGTGTGTGTGTGTGTGTGTGTGTGTGCGTGTGTGTGAGAGTGTGTGTGTGTGTGTGTGTGTGTGTGTGTGTGTGTGTGTGTGTGTGGGCACCAGACACATGCCTGGGGTCGAGGTTAGTGGAGGTTTAAAGTTGTTACTCAGAGGGCATTTATGTTCAGAAAGTTATACCAAACAGTGCTTTGCAACACTGACCATGCCTTCCTCTTCCCTATCTCCCACCCAAGTAGAGACTAGAGATGTCCTCTGTGTGGCAACAGGAGCCTATAGTGTACTCCCCCAGTGTAGAGATCGATTCCAGCACCATGAGGAGGAAGGCCAGGGTGGGTTCCTCACAGCACTGGCTTAAGCAGGAGCATGACCTGGAAGTTGTCAAGTGGGAGAGCATGACCTCTGGGGCAACTAGCGATGTGGAGCAGGACAACACACCCAGCAGTGCTGTGTCCAGTAAGAACTGCATACTCAATATAGAGGTCTAGAAAAATGCATTAACCAAGACACCTTAAGATGACTTCATAACCCAAAATCCATGTATTTTCTTGACATTTTGTTTTAATTATTATGATATGCTAATGTTTTACCGGTACGGCGTACCGGCAAAATACATAGTGGGGGTATACCAGTAAAACATGAGCATATCATAATAATTCAAACAAAATGTCAAGAAAACTGTACACTATTACACCACTTTTTATCATTACCGCATGTCAGAGGCATGAAAAATTTGCGAATGGACTTGAAAACGAGTGGTATAGCCTACACTCCAAAATGCGGACCGTATCACCTTATTTTCACCCCTGGGTGTTCCTCCAGCGGCCTCCCAGCCTGAGGGCAGCCTGCCTCCCCGGGTCATGCTGACCATCACCAAGCTGCAGTGCATGCTGGAAAGTAAACAGGAGCGCATCGTTGCCCTGGAGAGACAGGTTGAGGACCTGCAGCAGGACAGGAAGTTCCTCAGAAGCCAGATCGAGAACCTGACCAGCCAGCGCTCCGTCCCAACCTTCACTACCACTGCCACCTCAGCCTCTGAAGGTCAGTGCCCCCAGTCCTGAATGGTGCTGTTGTTGCAGAGGACTGGACAGTGGAATCTGTATGTATAATTTAAATGGGGATTTGTATGTTATCATAAGGACATAATTCTGTCTTAATTACTAATATACCTCTATTTTGTACTGTATCTCCATATCATGTAAGAAATCAGTGAAAGATGGTTGGAGGGAATAAAAGCGGATCACTCTGTCTTGTCTCTTCACAGCACCTAAAGCGGGGAAGTCACTGTATTCCGAACCCAAACCACGGAAGAGAGAGAGGGTTGCATCATCCAGCTCTTCCTTCAGTAATGAAAGCGGCTCAGAAATGTCTGTCTCCACCGTGATGTCCGGAGCCTCGAGCGACCACAAGAAGCGGAGACACCACAAGGAGAAGAGGAGAGGAAAGAAAGGGAAAGACTACAGCAGGAAGAGAGGTATGCTAAAAAGGGTATTCTTATTTTTTTATTTTTTATTTTTTTTATTTCACCTTTATTTAACCAGGTAAGCCAGTTGAGAACAGGTTCTCATTTACAACTGCGACCTGGCCAAGATAAAGCAAAGCAGTGCAATAAAAACAACACAGAGTTACATATGGGGTAAAAAAACATAAAGTCAAAAATACAACAGAAAATATATATACAGTGTGTGCAAATGTAGCAAGTTATGGAGGTAAGGCAATAAATAGGCTATAGTGCAAAAATAATTACAATAGTATTAACACTGGAATGCTAGATGTGCAAGAGATTATGTGCAAATAGAGATACTGGGGTGCAAAAGAGCAAAATAAATAACAATATAGGGATGAGGTAGTTGGGTGGGCTAATTTCAGATGGGCTGTGTACAGGTGCAGTGATCGGTAAGGTGCTCTGACAACTGATGCTTAAAGTTAGTGAGGGAGATAAGAGTCTCCAGCTTCAGAGATTTTTGCAATTCGTTCCAGTCATTGGCAGCAGAGAACTGGAAGGAATGGCGGCCAAAGGAGGTGTTGGCTTTGGGAATGAACAGTGAGATATACCTGCTGGAGCGCAGACTACGGGTGGGTACTGCTATGGTGACCAATGAGCTAAGATAAGGTGGGGATTTGCCTAGCAGTGATTTATAGATGGCCTGGAGCCAGTGGGTTTGACGACGAACATGTAGTGAGGACCAGCCAACAAGAGCGTACAGGTCACAGTGGTGGGTAGTGTATGGGGCTTTGGAGACAAAACAGATGGCACTGTGATAGACTACATCCAATTTGCTGAGTAGAGTGTTGGAGGCTATTTTGTAAAATGAGGAAATGATTTGACTGGATCCACGGAGACTGCATGCAATACCTAATTTCTTCAAGACAAAAGGGTAAGTTCTCTTCCTCAACATTGAACCATTTTTCAACACTTCAATCCCAACATTCCAAACCTTTGTAGTGGTTGAGTCAGTTTTCATACAGTTCAGCACTCCTAGCACTGACATACCATCCTCCCCTTCATCACCGTTTCTGTCTCTTCTACTCAGCCACTGGCGTCCAGTACGTGATCCACCGCTACAAACAAGTCCTCTCGGCCTTCATCAAGAAGAAGAGCATGAGTGGCGCTTTCCGTCACTACGGCATCGACAGGAACACCATTGCCAACACGGCGTCCATTGCCGAGCTCTACCTGGCAGCCAAGGAGACCCTGCCGCTGGTGGGGATGTTCCGCCCGCGAGAGGAGACCCTGGTGAGCTACGCCCAGAAGTGCGCCCTGGTCATTGAGACTGATGTGGCGCTAGCCAGGAAGATTGAGCAGATGAAAGCCACAGGGGAGCTCCTGCCCATCACGGTGAAAAAGGCCAGGGTCATGCACTCTGCTCACCAACAGCTAGGGGGCACCGCTGAAAGCCTGTTAATGGGCTGATGATGTAGCTAGGGGGTTTTGAGGGGTGAGTTGGACTAGAAGTGGAGAACACTTGTGTTGATGGTTGGAGAGATATTTAACTTAAAATCTGGGTCCTGGGTTGATATAATCACAAAGGAAGGATTTCTCTGCCTCTCTTTATTTATTGCAGTGTATCTATTAGTGTATCTATAATGCCTTCTTTAAAAGTAATTATTGTTTTTCTATAGTTTTTTTTATATCGTATGAATACAATATTCAACAGGTTTAAGCGGGGACACTTTACACATGTTCCCAGAAGACCATTTCTGTTTGCTTATGAATTTCCTCACTCAATAATTGTCATTCATTCATAGTGGTCTGTGCTGAACAAACACGGTACTGAACAAACACGGTACTGAACAAACACAGTACTGAACAAACACGGTATTGAACAAACACAGTACTGAACAAACACAGTACTGAACAAACACAGTACTGAACAAACACAGTACTGAACAAACACGGTACTGAACAAACACAGTACTGAACAAACACGGTACTGAACAAACACGGTACTGAACAAACACGGTACTGAACAAACACGGTACTGAACAAACACGGTACTGAACAAACACGGTAGCAGCTAGCCATGGCCACAGAATGAGTTTGCACTGTAGCATACATGACTTACACCAGTAAAAGTAGTCACTTTTGTTTGACAGTGCTTTTCCCTGGAAGTGTCCCTCTTTATTTGACTTAATGTTGATAATAACTGATCTGAAGATCCAATATAGCTGCCCTTTCCCTTGCAGACCCAAGGACAAATATACAGTAAACTCATTGTGATGGTCAGAAATGAGACCAGAAATATGTGAAGACAACTTCCACAAGATGGCACTGCACTCACTTCAATGGACGTTTACACTATTATTTCAGTAATCCTGAGTACATTTTCCAGTAGTATTTTTCCAAAATGGTGGACACTTTATGTCTGCTTCCAGAGAGCACTTTGATATTATTTTATTTTATTTTGGTTTGATATTTTTAAAATCAGACAGTTGGTCCATGTATACTGATGCATTTGGAACATTCTGCTGTTTTTAGAGCTGGGATTTATATGCTGTAATTTATACATTGACTAAGTTTAGTAAAATCTTGCGGTTTTTAGGTGTTTAACTCACAACCTTCAGATTATAGAATTTAGGAGAATAAAATAGAATACATGGTAATAATTGATGGTGTGAACAGGTGTTGAACTAGTCCTAACTAGTTTATATCCAATGTACTGTTGTGATTGATAATTGCTAATATGGACAATTCTGTTGTTGACACTGGGCTATTCACTTTTTCTATCAAGTTTGTTCACCTATCTCTCAAACTGTGATTCTTCAAAACATATTTTACTTATTTGAATGGTTTGAGAAATGAAGCATTTAGCAATACTCTCATGCAGTTATGAACGTTCTTGGCTGTACCTCCTTGTATGTGTGACATCACATCAACATGATCTCATGACCAATCATTAGAGTTCTACAGTAGAGTACTCAGACCTGTGGGGTTTATTTATTTTTACCTCCACATGTGCAATATCAAGCCCCTTCCGTACCATCAAATGTGCTCACTTGTGTACTAATATTTTTTCTCACCCTGTGGATAAGTTATGCACTTCATGCTTACTCAAGCTTTTCTGAGTCTTGAAGAGTTCCTTCAAGAGGGGGCCATTTTGTTTGTTTGTCCTGTGACCAGAAGAATCTGCAATGCTTGCATGGACAGATGGGGCTGTTCGCTATTAGACATCCTTGGGCAATAGTAAGTGGCAGTGCATAGCGTTGCCATTGCCTTCCCCGCTGTTTGCTTTTCACTCTGACTGACAAATGACCAGTGCAAAGCCATTACAGGGCTGCACCCGGGCTGTTTATCTTTGCGTGGGACTCACTGTCACTCTCATTCACATGCTGGCCCTCCCTATCTCTCACTCTCACGTCCCCCTCAGTCTGTCATTCTGTCTGCCCTAACCCACCCCAACCTCTGTTTCACTAGCTGTCTCTCCTCCCTTCCCGGTTGTATCAGTCCCAATTTCCTTTATCTCTGTCTCTTGGTTGGAGATCATTTTGTCTGTCTGTAGGCCTTGTGTTTCTTTCGCATTCTTTTTATTTTACCCATTTATTCTCTTGCCCTTTCACCCAACCCTCTTCCTTTTCACCTCTCTTTCTTTCTTTATCTCTCCCTCCTTCACTAACAATAGAGCTGATTGTGGATGAGGGGCCTGGAGGAGGTGGAGCGGTATTGCTGTGGTCAGCCAGGCGTCTCAGACGCGCCGGCAGGAGCAAACACGAGAGAACGCCCACACACTGTAACCTGAGGTGGCAGGTGCATTCTGGTATTGTGGGAGGCACTGGGGAAGGGGCAGGCATACAGCTCTGCCAGCTCTCATCTCTCCTCACCTCCTCAGGGACAGAAATGTCACAAATGGCTTCCTCCTCCAGTCAAATATGGGATGTATCCTACATTTTAGATGGATCTTTTTCTCAATTGTATTGGCATATGATTGTAATCAAGACCAACAGAAAAAGTAATTTAAGACAAGCTATTTATACCATGTTGTAGATGTCTACATGTTTATACCATGTTGTAGATGTGTTTGGAAGTGTTGGTCAATTGACCAGAAAAAGGCAAATAAACAACATGTCCACCTGCCGGTCTTTAAGAGTGGCAGCTGTGGATGTGGCAGTAATGACTGGGGGCAATGGAGGAGATCAGTGATGGGTGTCGGCCTAATTGAGCCTGATGCATCCCCCCTCTTCTCGCTGACTCTCTGACTCACATTGGTCTGAGTGCAGCTGGGACTTCACTTTGTGGCCGTGTGGTTGTTTGTTTGGTACTCAAATTATGTGGCAGGTGCAATGGCACGGTCTGGCGCCCATGTGCCTGATGAGTGCGACGTTTATATCCCTCTTGTCCAGTTTTGTAACAGACAGAGAGCATTTACATGCTAGGGGAAGCTGTTAATGACCTCTAACTATCCTCTATGAGATCTGTAGCTGTGGGATCAATTGTTTGGATTTGTTACAATTGCAGCCATATGACATATCCTGTAGTTTGGTATTTACCAGTTACTTGTTAGTAAATGAATTAGACATACAGTATGCCACTAATGGAGGACGGAAGGATTCTAAGAAAAATGTGAGCAAATAACCTGTTTACACTTCAGCAATTGATGTGGAGCTTTCTAGTAAATAAAGAGTTGAATAACATTGCTGCCTTCTACTGCCAGATAACTTGAGTAACAATGAAAACCCTGTTTCATTACAGTATGTTGTGCAGCAGTGGTTAATAAGCGGCTTGTAATTGGATACTTAAACATGTTCAGTGGTTTTCAGTATTTCATGGCACATTAAAAGCACACATAATGGGGATGTGTGTAAATCATGTTCCTTTAATTTAAAGCTAGAATCCTTAGTTGAAACAATAACAAAGCGGCCACCCCACCTCTCTTTTGGTAAAAAGCTGAGGGATGGGCCTGGAGAAATGTAACCACTCTCACATTCATAGACAGAGCTATGGATGCAAGGACTGACCATCCATGATATCAAAATGATAGTTTTAACCATGTTTTGAGGCTATACACATTGTTTGGTTACATTTACATTGTTTACAAACATTGGAGAAAAACCAGCTTATATTTTGGGTTCTGATAGGGTACAGCAGTTTAACTAAGCTCATGAGGCATTGATAAGATATATTCTTCAAAAATCAATAGGTATATATCATTAATTTATAAGTCCAAATACGGATGTAGCAACTAAGGATTCTAGCTTTAAGGGGGTTATTGCGATGGTTACCATCAAAATAGGGTTGGAATTCAAGATTATTCTAATTACATATGATTTCCAATAGTCTGTATTCAATACTGTGATGGGACTCATTGCAGCAATATACAGTTGGTGGAAAAGTACCCAATTGTCATACTTGAGTTAAAGTAAAGATACGTTAATAGAAAAGGACTCAAGTAAAAGTGAAAGTCACCCAGTAAAATAGTACTTGAGTAAAAGTTTAAAAGTATTTGGTTTTAAATATACTTAAGGATCAAAAGTAAAAGTATAAATCATTTCAAATTCCTTATATTAAGCAAACCAGACGGCACGATTATCTTGTTTTTTTAATTTACAGATAGCCAGGGGCACACTCCAACACTCAGACATAATTTACAAACAAAGCATTTGTGTTAAGTGAATCTGCCAGATCAGATAGTAGGGATGACCAGGGATGTTCTCTTGATAAGTGTGTGAATTTGACCATTTTCCTCTCCTGCTAAGCATTAAAAATGTAACAAGTACTTTTGGGTGTCAGGGAAAATGTATGGAGTGAAAAGTACATTCTTTTCTTTAGGAATGTAGTGAAGTAAAAGTAAAAGTAGTCAAAAATAGAAATAGTAAAGTAAAGTACAGATACCAAAAATAACTACTTAAGTAGTACTTTAAAGTATTTTTACTTAAGTACTTTATACCACTGGCAATATAATACAGTATTTTTATTTCCAGTTATGTTCTTAAGAGTTTTTTATGCTCTTTAAGAAAAATAAGAAAATGAAAAGGCCAAGCTTGTGGTATTTTGTCTTATACGCAATCCGCTACAGACACCTAGGACTTTCAAAGGAGTTGGCCCTCATTATGGTATTGATTCCTGAAGGTTAATGCCATCACTGATCTATTATAACCTATGAAAGAGAAGTGAGAGTCTGATAAACTATGGATGGACAGGATGTTGGTTGTAGTTATAAATACATTTCCAACAGTGAAGGCAATTGAAGGAATTGCGATATGAAAGGGAATGTCACTGACTGTACAGCTGTTCATGTTTCCCATATTTTTGTGTAAACCGTGAAAATGTGATAACTGTTCAGTCATGTAGAGTAAAATATCACTCTTGCAAGATAGCAAGTATGTTGACAGATCAAATGGCCCTCGGTATGATAAGTTGGTAAAGCAATGATGAAATAGAGCACTGCAAATGCTTCTAGTCCCACCCAGCCAGCCTTTGATGGAGTAACTGTCATTGGTTTTCTATTTTCTCTGGGTGGGTTTCAAAGCTGATAATCTGTTATATGTCTAAGATGGTCTGTCACCTCTCCATGTCTTTGTAGACAAATTGCCCATAGGATCAACCGTTGCCCCTATGATGTATCTCCCTGAGCTGAACTGACATGTAATTTCATCT